TGGAGTTTTTATTATCCTATCACTTCTGACCCTATACTGCCCCTATTTCTCTAATCCTATTTATCTAAACTCTTGTGCCTCTTTTGCACCTTAAAACGGTGTGCCTCTTTTGCACTTCTAAATCCTGTGGCTCTCTTCCTGTATATTCTTTTTTAGAGAGAGACCAGCATCCCTCAAGGTTCAAAAACGTCGAAAAACCTGACTATTGTTCTATCGCGTCCGATAGAATCGCCCATCACGGCGGTCTGGCCACGCTGCAGTCATGCTGGGCCGAGATCTCTCTCTCTTCTATTTAAAACAATGTGCAGACTTTAGAAATGGTATCTGCTTACCTGTGTTTTGCAGTAGAGAGAGAGCCCCAAGACCCAACAGACCCAGTCTATCTATCTGAGCTCATCTTGCGTCTTCTTTCTGTATCAAATCACGTCAGGGTCACCAAATGAAGCCAAATACTCCCTTTTGGCTCGCGTGTCCACAATTTGGTACAGAAATCAGACGAAGATATCCAAGTTTAACATCTGCATTTAATTATCTTTACAATCAGATACAGAATATTCAACAAAAAAGTGCTCCTAAACTAATATGTCCCTCTCTTCTTACCCTGCGCTAACCTTCCCCCCAGAACTCAAACCAACAGTTTTATCAAGACGTCTGATGACGTCACTTGTGGGCGTCTCCCGAATGTTCTTTTCGGGTGTGCTGGCGTCCCGTGTCCACTGGGAGGCGTCAGAATGCCTTTGGAGAATCTCCCAGTCTGCCTGAGAGATGGTGTTTTTTGGACTTTTGGCCTCGCCAGAGAGACAAGAATGTTTATTCCTGGAGTTAATAATTTGTCCCGTTTTGAAAGTTGGTATCTCTATGACTGATTGTAGTTTCTCCATTTGACCCTCTTTATTCCTGTTTGCAATCCTTGTCCTTGGGGCTTTTCCCCGTGCACATTCTTCAGAGGGCCTATTTTCAAAATCATTAGTATACAACATTTTAATTATGCAACAACGTCAATCAAAAAGTGCACCACCGATGGCTTTATTGAAAATATATTTTGTTGTTGAAATGAAAGTTGAAATGTTACAATAGTTCTTACATCTGAACATTCTCCAATCTCACACTTTTCTTGTGGATAAAGTTTCAGCTCTTACACAAAAGCTTAGGCTCAGAAGACTGCACTGAATCAATAAAACAGAGCGTCCTGTCCACGCTGCCCTGTTCCTGTTTGCACAGCTCAGTGGAAGTGGTCACCTCCCTCCCTGATCCCTCCATAAAAATACATTTCTTCTAAACATAACAAATAAATCATACAATGTTTTTTGTTTTTAAGAAATGTCTGTTGCTTGATTACTTCCAACATTTTTACAAAAACATGAATATCTTAAAACAACAGCTGGAAAGTAAAAAAAAAAAAGATCCAAATATCAATATTCAACAGTAGAGAATGTCCTCTTGTTACTGTTGGTAGTCACATTCCAATCTCAAGTCATTAAAAAAGTCTCTGGAAATCATTCAACACAATACAGTTGGGTGTGCACATATCTCCACTCTATTACCAGGACTTATTCATTGTGATAAATGGGTCTATTTTGCTCGAGTCAAACAATAGATATTTATTCCACGAGTGAGAGGGAAAGAGGTATTTTAACATCTCGGGCTGCTGCTTCTTAATTTGTGGCTCCCACATCTTTTTAATGGATATTACTTTTCCTGTATCTCTCCCCTGATAATAGTTATCTGCATTCATTCTAAAGCTGTGTTAAGTGGTGTGCCAAAGTCAGTTGGCCAAACTTTGAAAGTCAATGCCACTTTACGTCAGTGGTTTATGAAGAACAGTTTTGAATCTGGCGTCCGTATCGCAAACCTGCAGACTCAGCTGATTCAAAAGGCAACGTGTATATAGAATTATTAGGCAGGGTACAAGAGACACTGCCTGGCCATTACAATAATGGGATGTATTATAGATATATGTTGTGGTATGATAATGATCAAATATATGATTGGAAATTTTCTGTCTGTATTTGCAGCCAGCTAAAGATTTGCAGTAAAGCATCTCCCTCGTGGACCACCTGCAGCTTTGGACCAATTAAATACACCACCCACCATTTTCTGGCCCAAGTGCTCCGACACAGATCCAGGCACGCATTGACAATGGAAACAGCTGGAGACAGTGAAAGAGATCAATAAAAAATAAGCCATTCATAATTCATAATTCATAATTGACACTTAGTAAAGACATCCCACTGGAAAGCGGCTTTGTGCTCATTGATGGACTGCGCTCAATAGCTCTCTGTCGATGTAGACATCTGTTTAATTATGAAATATTGTCATTGGCTTTTGTTCCTATCCACATACACCATCACTGACAAGAAATCAGTGTCTATAGTATATGTATTCATGTACCAAGACAATATATTGGTTTGTAATACTTGGATGCATGGTTTAACTTTAAAAACCACCAAGCACAATTCACTTTGGAGAGACCCATGAGGAAGAATGCCGTTAGACTTATTAGATTTAAGCATGTTTAATGATTGAGCATGTTTGGCGCCCTAGGCCCGGGAGGGATGCTGTTGAGCACGGCGCTTGCTCGCGTGCATAATCCCCAAAAAGCGGGCCTGCAATTGGGATAGCAGGACGTACTGCGCGGGCCTGAGAGCATGAGTGAGAGGCTTCTCGCACGGTCGCTCAGCCAGGCTGCGTCCGCTGGGGCCCGTGTTTGTTTAGGCAGAGCGAGCAGAGAATATGAGCGTGCTCATATTCAGCTAGACGCTGAAGCAGAAGAATCTTTGAGCAAACTGGGAACATGCGCGCACGCGCATGTTCGGCCAGTCGCAGCGCAGGGGAGTCTTTGAGCGAGCTGGGAATATGAGATGCACGCTCGTATTCGCCAGACGCTAAAGCCAAGGAATCTTTGAGCGACTGAGAACATGCGCGCACGCGCATGTTCAGCCAGGCGCTGCGCAGAGGAATCTTTGAGCGAGCTGAGACATGCGCGTTTGAGGAAAGTGCGTGCCGCCACCAGAATCTTATTGCTTACTTGCTTTGCTGGGAGCTTACGAGGAAGCCGGTAGACGTTGTGCGGCCATGATAGCGGTCGCATCTGGCCTGATGTAGGTGGAGAAAGCCGAAGAGGACCAGCGCCCCAGCTGTTGTAGAGAAGAGTGGGGGAGCCCCAGCGAGGCCGCGACCACTGGGAATGTCTCGTGTAGGGCAGAGGAAATGCTCCGGGGAAAAGTAGCGGGCCACGGCCCGGCGAACCACTGGTCCTGGGAGAACCCCCCAAAACCCACGGAAGGGGCAGCGGCCGTGTAGAAGCGGAAACCTGTAGGGGCAGAGAGACATACCGAAGAGGGCCAATGATGTTGCAGGCGCCCTTACGCTTAGAATCTGGGGTTGGAGATTAGATAATCAGGACAGTAGGATAGGTCGGGAAAGCCGCGTCTCGGAACGCATTGAAGGTTGAGTGAGCCGTAGTGAAACGCTTATGCAGAGAAGCCATAGAAGGCGAGCAGGAAGATGCTGCGAGGAGGGCAGACATGTACCTGGAAGATGAGCCGGAGTTCAGTGCCGCTCAGAGCTGCTGCAGGATGGGCAGCATGATGGGGAGCCTGCAATCAGAAGAGTGACGAATACGGGTACGAATGCCTTTGAGTAGGAGTTTGATTGACCGCTCAGCAGTAAAGAGAGATGTAAAGTGAAGAGACATCAAAGTAAATGAAGCAGTAGCAGCAGCAGTAGTTGCAGCAGTGGTTGCAGCATCCTTAGATAATAACAGCAATAATCCTGTATCAAAGCCACAGCAGTAGAAATTGTTGTAGCTGTTTAGTGTTTCAGAAGAGAAATGTAAAGGGAAGAGAGATGTCAAAGTAAATGAAGCAGCAGCAGCAAAGCAGTATGAAGCTTCCAACGTGGTTTTACTGCAAGTGGCAGAACATGAATCTGAATTAATGCACATGCTCCTCTTATATCCCTCAGACGATAGAGATTGATACCATTTAACATGCGTTGCCCCTCAGTTAGCTCAAACACATGTGAAAACGAAGCCTGCAGTCTAGTGCGCGGGGCAAAAACCAAGCCCGCAGTCCAGACTCCGGGATTAATCCGTCCGCGGTCGGCACACTCACTGTACTCACATGCCAGGAGACTCGGGAAAAGCAACGGGACAACGCTGCACCGCCAGACCGTCTGCGCGCGGCAGCAGACCGCGAGGAGCGAACAACACGGAACCCGCGGAGGGCCCCGCGGAGCAGCCCGCAGAAGAGCCCGCAGAGGAGGAGAGCAGTGGAGACACGCAAACCACAGCAGGTGCAGGGACGCGGAGGAGGAGCAGGCCACAAGCAGCCAGACTGAGGACAGAAGGGCCACGCGCACGAGCAACACGTGAGCAGAAGCGACCCTTCCAGAACAACGCATGCATTTGCGAACAGGTGCGTTAGCGACATGCACCTTGCAGGCTTCAGAAGCTTGCAGACTTCAGAAGGCCGGGAAGTGGGTGTCTCCGGCTTTTAACTTGCTGTCCTGGTGGTTATTGGTTGACTGGATGTGGGCGTTGCTGGTATTGATGAGTCGAGGAAGAGCAGCCTGTGGCCTGGGCAGCAGCAGCCGGGTCTACCACAGTGAACTTTCGCGAAGCTCCATTTAAATACAGAACAAGTTTGTTTGCTAGCTTTCACATGCATCGGAGTCACATCTTTAGATCAGCTTTATCAGACGGAAAAGTGTTTGGCATTTTACTTTAACAGTACTAATTCTGTTGGGACAAAAGATTGTTCTACTTTGGATGACCTAATGCATTTGAATTTCTAAGAACACTTCACGCTGTTTTGAGAATGCTCAAAATGTCACTTCGAATTTAACACATCGACTATAGATTGACATATTGCAACACTCTATATTGGAAAATATGTGTTTCAAGATATTATTCCTCATTATACATTCATGCAGAATGAGTTTAAATCATTGTTTTGTCTTTGTTAAAACAAGGGACTGAAGTCATTGTTTTCTTTCAGATAACCACTTTGATCAACCACAAAGACAAGCCAAAGAAGTCTGAGCGGACCCTGGCTGCCATTCACCGGGTGGGCCAGGCCGTGAGCGTGGCAGTGGGCCGCTTTGTCGCTGTCGGAGAGGCCATCGCCGCTGAGAACCAGGAACTCAAAGATGAAATGAGCCAAGCTTGTTTTGAGGCTCGCCGGGCAGGTAATTCCATATGTGATCTTCTAGATCATCCAAATGACACTTGTGTGGCTCTGCAATTAATCAGAATGAATAATTTCAATCATTGCCCTAAGTGATTATACAAATAGTGTGACGGTGAATACATGAATTACTTTTTGTTCAGGATATGTGCTTGTTTTACCTGCACAATTAGTGGAACAAAATACTTTTCTAATTTACACAAAGGGGACATTCCCATCAAGTTTACTTTGACTGAAAAAACACTAGTATTGCAGATTGGATATTGTGTCTGAACTGTGGGTCAAGCTAGCTCTTAGCCTTTATGTAGTTATTGTTTAGCATCGTTTATGAAGTATCGCCTTCACTAGGACAGCAGTCGTTGGCTCTTCATCTTCAGATACTTGTTTAGACAAAATATGACACTTTGATACAGCGTGAGCAAGCAGCACCTCCAGGCTCTCTGGCGTTATCAGATTTAAGAACATTTCCATTTATCAGGGCAGTGCGGCTGTCAGGCAAAATTACAGTGGCGGACATTCTGAGTGCTTTGCTGCTGTTGGGTAGAAGGGAAGAGGTCCACGAGCTGGTTTACCCAAGAGTGTCCTCCGAAGAGCGCCGCATGAGACTGAAACGCTATTTTCATATTTGCTTTGAAGACTGCATTCTTGTTAAAAGCAACTATGCTGATGGTTGGTCTGTTCGTGAGATAGCATGATTAAGTATTATGTATACAATGGACTGTAGAGTTATATATTTTGCATTTTCCTCATATTACTCAGTAGATTTGAAAACAATATTGGATGCTGAATGACAAAAACTGGGCTTACATTTATTTACTATGCATTTTCCTCGTTCACGATAGACAACACCACAAAAACAATATCAAATCAGTTTTGGGATCATTTCTCTCCCTCTCTTGAAGCTAAGCGTGAAAGTGATGGACATTTGAATTATAAAGCCGTAAGCAGGCAGACAGAGCAGCGCTCGGGAGAGGGATGGCAGGGGTTGAAAGGTTGACTTTTCATTTGTCATTTTGAGAAAACAATGTTGAAGGTGCATATCAACTTCACACCTAGAGGAAAAACAACATTACTGTATTCTATTAAGATCCTATAGGGTTTGTCTGCTTGCCAAAACCTGCTCACATAAACCTTTTTCCCACGGCTGCCCCGTGTTTTTTGACACTTGATGAAATGGGACAACAGTGCATACAACAGTGTATAAATAAAAGGGTCTCAAGAAACTTCTGACTTTCAAAATCCGTCTTCTACGCCCACAGTACAACACACAGAATCACAGGGAATCACATTACTATGGACTACGGCAGGGGTGTCCAAACCGGTCCAGAAAGGGCCGCTATGGCTGCAGGTTTTCTATCCGCCCCAGCAGGAGCTTAGCAGACTCCTCTGCTCCTCTGCTCTGGATAACTTTTACAGGAAATAGCAGCACGTGCAGAAGTTAAAACTCGTTGTAAAGAGCTTCACTCTTGTTACACGGCTTGTTACGCTGTTATCGTGTCATCAAAGATTGTCCCTCATGTGACTTGTTCACTTCAATCAATCAATCAATCAACGTTTATTTGTAGAGCGCCTTTCCTACACAAGGCAACGCAAAGCGCTTCACATCCCCTATCACATCATGCATAAATCAAACACATTAAGAGCACAAGATATATTAAAAACATTAAAAATAAAATCACAAAAATTAAAAACCTTTAAACATTAAAATCACAGATGGGACTAAAATCATAAATAGTCACAGTGCATTAAAAAGATTAAAGATAAAAACAAAGATGAAAAGATAAAATCATTCAGTTGTATATGCGCAGCTAAACAGAATTGTTTTGAGCCTAGATTTAAAAGATGCCAGAGTAGACGCCTGTCTCACATTCTCAGGAAGACGGTTCCAGACTCTAGCCGCATGAATCTGAAATGCAGTTTGCCCATGTCTAGTACCGACTCTGGGCACTAACAGGAGTCCAGTCCCTGTGCTCCTCAGAGTCCGGGTCGGTTCATATGGCACAAACATGTCATGGATGTACCTTGGCGCGAGACCATGGAGAGACTTGTACACAAGTAAAGCTGCTTTGAAGTCTATTCTCTGAGGAACAGGAAGCCAGTGCAGAGACCTGAGAACTGGACTAATGTGGTCGTACTTCCTAGTTCTGGTCAGGACTCGAGCTGCTGCATGTTGAATGTACTGCAGCTGTTTTACAGCCTGTTTGGACAGACCTGTGAGCAGGCCATTGCAATAGTCTAACCGACTGGAGACAAAAGCGTGTATAAGAGTCTCCAAGTCTGCCTTAGACACTATGTTTTTAATTTTAGCAATGTTTTTTAGGTGGTAATAAGCTGCTGATGTTACAGATTTTATGTGGCTTTTGAAATTTAAGTCTGAGTCCATTATCACTCCTAGATTTCTGACCTGATTTGAGGGTTGTAGAGAGAGAGCCTGGAGGTGACAAATAACGCTCTCTCTTTGTTTCTGGGGTCCGAAAACAATTATTTCAGTTTTGTCGGTGTTTAGTTGGAGAAAGTTATTTTGCATCCAATCACCGATTTGCTGGACACAGTGAAGGAGCGAGTCCACTGGTTCATGCTCTCCTGCTGTCAGGGACACATAGACCTGAGTATCGTCAGCGTAATTGTGATAAGAGACATTATTACTGTGAATCAACTGACCTAGAGGCAACATGTAAATATTAAACAGAAGAGGACCCAGGATTGACCCCTGTGGCACTCCGCAGGTCAGGGCCAAGTGGTCTGAGGTACAGTTTTCGATCTCCACAAAAAAACTTTCTGTCTTGTAAATAGGACCTAAACCAGCTTAGGGCGGTGCCAGCAACACCAACCCAGTCCTCAAGTCTCTGAATGAGGATGCCATGATCAATAGTGTCAAAAGCAGCACTTAAATCTAACAGAAAAAGGACTGAGACTTTTCCTGCGTCAGTGTTTAGTTTGATGTCATTTGTTACCTTTATTAGCGCGGTCTCAGTGCTGTGGTGGGGTCTAAACCCTGACTGGAACATATCATAAGCGTTATTGATTATTAAAAATTCTGTAAGTTGTTTATAGGCAACTTTTTCTAGAATTTTTCCCATGAAAGGCAGATTTGAAATGGGCCGATAATTTTTGAGTGCCAGGGCTTCCAGACTCCTCTTTTTTAGGAGGGGCCTGATGACCGCCGTTTTCAAGGCCATTGGGAATGTTCCAGATTCAAGAGACATATTAACTATTTGTGTAAGTGAAGGTAAAAGACTGCTCAGAACTGACTTGAGAAATCTAGGAGGTAATACATCCAGGCTGCATGTGGAGGAACTCAGACTAGTGATTATCTCCTGGACAGTTTCAATTTGTACTGGTGTAAAGTGCGTCAGCCCAAAAAGCCTCACTGGCGGTTGGATTATTATTTCTATCGTGGAGGTGATGGCGTTTTTGATACCTTGGACTTTGTCATTAAAGAACTGAGCAAACTCATTACATTTAGATTTGGAAGTAAGTTCTGATGGCATCTTAACAGGGGGATTCGTCAATCTATTTACTGTTGAAAACAGAACACGTAGATTGTTGCTACAGCCTTCAATAGTTTCAGAAAAGTACATTTCCCTCGTTCTACGTAGTTCCCTGTTAAAATTGCACAACGCATCTTTGAAGATCTCATGGTCAACTTTGAGATTTGACTTTCGCCACTTCCGCTCGGCCTTCCGGCACTCTCTCTTCTGTGCCCTGACCGAGTCTGCTTTAGTCCATGGCGCTTTTTGCTTGTTTGTAACTATTTTAACCTTTACAGGAGCAATTGTATCCAGAACATTCAAAACAGTGGTGGTGACAGAATCAAGTAATTCATCTACAGTAACACACAACGTGTTCTCAAAGTTTACCCTCCCCATGAACAGTTCGCCTGTATTATCATTTATGTGTCTTCTTCTAACAACCGAAGATTCAGCTGGTGGTTTACAATCAAGACACATGTCAAAAAATACACAGAAATGATCAGACAGAGCAACATTGACCACATTTACATTTGAAATATTAACCCCCTTGGTAATTAACAGATCGAGAGTGTGTCCTCTGCTGTGGGTGGGGCCACTCACATGCTGAGTGAGACCAAAGGTTTCCAGCACAGAGCTCAGCTCTATTGCATATCTATCATTAGCATTATCTACATGTATATTGAAATCACCTACAATGACCAAACCATCAAAATCTGTGCACACAACTGAAAGCAACTCAGTGAAATGATCAGTGAAACTATGGCATGACTGTGGCGGCTTGTACACAACAATAATAAGAATGGAAGAAGATTTCTTTTGTTCTATTTTAAAAGAAACATACTCAAATGATGAAAATTTCCCAAGAGACACTCTATGGGAGACAATACGATCTTTAAAAACTGCTGCTATGCCCCCCCCCCTTTTATTTTCTCGTGTTTCATGTTCAAATTTGAAATTTGGTGGTGAGGCTTTTATTAAAACTGCATCTCCTGTATTATGGTCAAGCCATGTTTCAGTCATAAACATAAAATCAAGATCATACGAACAGATAAAATTATTAATTAAAAATGATTTGTTGCATAGTGATCTGACATTAAGTAGAGCAAGGTTAAAATTAATATCAGTGTCAATGGGTTTAGTTGATTGATTACAAAGAACTGGAATTAGATTTCCAGAGTTGGACCGTCTAACTGCTGTCCTTCTTTTAAATTTGTGTTTATTCAAGTTAAAACACATTTCTGAGCTGGTGCGAGAAACATACACAGTCTCTATTGGTTTAAAAAGTGAACTCTGTTGTACTTTGTTAAGTTCCAGATGCATAACTGAGTCAGCACAGTTCAGTGGCAGGACTGTTGTTACACTGCCAGACGGACAGAGGTCAGTGTTTGCACCACAGTACTCACCCGGTGCTGGTAAGGAGGAGGAGGAGGAGGGGGGTGGTGGGGGCCGAGAAGCCTCAGATGTAAACAGTCACGCCCCCCTCTGGGAGCACTGAACAACATGGCGTAGGAAGTCCGTCAACAAACTGGTGCCGTATCTGTTCGGGTGCAGACCATCTGGACGATAGGCCACGTGACGCTTCCAGAACAGGCCAAAGTTGTTCACAAAAATAAAGTTAAAAGTGCTGCATGTAGACTGGAGCCACATGTTGAGCGCCACAACGCGACTGTACAAGCAGTCTCCCCGGTTTACAGTCGGGACTGGACCAGAGATAAAAACACACAACCCGAAGGACTGGAGGAGGCGGAATAGATCCATAAAATGCTTCTTTGTGACCTCGGACTGCTGCAGCTTCATGTCGTTGATCCCCACATGCACGATTACCTTTGAAATGGTATCAGGCAGGGACTGAAGCAGAGGAGGGAGACGGATGAGCAGGTCTGGAACAGTGGCTCCGGTAATGCAGTGAGTGACCGCGTTAAAAAAGCGGACGTGCCTCACGATGGAATCTCCAACAATCAAAGTAGTCGGGGCGAAGAGTGGACGCGGCCGCGGAGAGGGCGCTCGGTGTCCATGGCCAGAACCAGCGGGCTCATCCAGGGATGGGTCCGAACCAGGGCGCTGCTGAACACATGGAGAGGAGTGGGGGTGTTGATTCCCAGCTCCGGGCAACCCACGCTGTGTGCTCGGGGACGCTGGAGCAGCGAGAGGAGCAGGCTCGGGTCGCTGCTGCTGACCCGGTGAAGGTAAGTGGTGGTGATGCACTGGGGTCAGAGAAGGGGAATGACCACTCTTTCGTCTGAGGACAGCTTCCTTTAAGAGTGTCTTTCTCGCAGTGGACCTGGATCCACGGACAGCAGTAGAGTTTGCTGCAGAGTCCAGGGGTTCTGCTGAGGGGGCTGGAATGTCAGCGGAGAGGGCTGCATAGCGGTTTGAAAGGCTCAGGACATGGGCCACGGCGCTGGATGGCTCCTCGCAGTCCGCAGGCTCTTTATTCCGAACCGGGCACTTAGGTGTAGAGCAAGAGGGCCCAGAGCTGACAGATCTCTCCCACACGACAGTGTCACAGTATGCAGCGCTCAGTGACATAAGCCGTGAGTGCTGCCCGCCAGCGACATCAAAAAGTTTGGACACGAGTGACTGTTTATCCTGCAGCTCTGCAGTGAGGCGAAGGACTTCTTTACGGAGGTCTGCAATAGTGGCACGGTCCCTCTCACGAAGCTCCAATGTGAGGCGACTAATGTCGTTCGTGGTCATTGCAGTGTCACTTTCCATGTCTGTGATGCGCTCGTGGTAGCCTCCGAGCTAGCGCGTTTCGATTGGGTCTTTGTGTTAAAAGACGTGATGCTCTGGAACCATTAATAAAACACTAGAGTGTACAAAAGACACTAATACACCGTAAAAACGTGTTTAAAAGGCTTTAAAAGGCTTAAAAAAGGGTAAAACAGAGCAGAAACGTCAAAACGCGTGCTCACTCGCGTGCTCGCTCGTTGAATAAACTTGATCAAACAGTTTGATTCTATTGCAGTTCACACTAAGGGGTTTCCAAAAAAAAGCATTTCATATTTTAACATTAAATTGGAATATTTTGTGTCCCCAGAAAACAGGTCAAAATGTATAGATTATATTTGACCTTTTCTGACATACAGTTTAAAGTGGATTTTCCTCGTACTTATTCTTCAGTTTTTGTTTTCAATGTGCAACACCCTCCTGTGACAAATGTATTCCCACATGACTTCACAGGAAGGTGTAGCAGTGCTTTCTTACTTCTACTGAGAGACAATATTTCAAGTGAAAAGCTGAAAAGGAAAACAAGTTTGATTTATTATTTTGAAGTTGGTGGCTTGATGAATAACAAAAGTATATTTTACTGCAAATATATTACAGTATATTTCCCTCACCTTGTGTTTTCAAGATCTAAAGTTGGATTGGAGAGCCTGAATGATGGAGTTTAATTAGATGCTTCTCATCACCAGAGCAGAGGATATCCAACAAGGCAGCTCAGCTCAGCACAGCCAATCTGTATTAGATCTCTGTCTCTGTCCGATTAGTTTAGTCTGACAGTTCAAAATGCATGAGCAGCTACGGGAAGTCAAGCTAAATGTAATTATGTATTTAATTAAAGGCCTTACATCAAAAGTAAAATCATAATTATGTTATATTTGGTCAGAAAAAAATAAATATATTTTTTGTTTTTTTGGTGGAGGCACTAAAATGGATTATCTTTTCTATCCATACTTATTAGAATGGTGGCATGTGCTATGTGTGCAGTGTATACATTGTACAGCATTTGGATGAGCCTCTGCGACACATAGAGATGATATCCTGAGTGTCAGGGGAATATGTTTGAGCTGGTTAGAGTAGCTGACTCTGAAAGGATGTCTGTCCTGTCAGCTTCAATCAGTTCATTTAGCCTAAAGGTCCTCCCAAACCTAATAAACAAAACTCAATAACGACGTGGCTTTTCTTTACCAGTTCTTTAGGTATTGTGCAATAGAGTTTTACAGTTTAAAAAACCATCTCAAATACAGTTTGAATTTTCACTAAGAAGATAGATGAGGAGGAGACCAGCTGGCGTAGTAGTGTTTATTTGTTGTCTTTCCATTCTTGGCAAACTGCCCAAGGTGACAGATTGTAAGGAAAGGATGATTTATTTAAATGTTACAAAGTTATTTTTTCTCCAATGAAGCAGTGCGTGTTTCTATTTTTGCCTGTGTCTGGCTGGTGATCATAAAAGCAGTAAACACAAGGCAAAGCACCCTGCAGCGTTCAGTTCACACTGGCATGTTTGTTTTGTTCCTGGGAGATCCCAGCGCACTTCCAGTCCAGATGGGATGTGCAATCCTTCTAGCAAGTTAAAATGTTAGTTAGTTTGATTTTCTATCACACAAGCGTATTTGTTTTCCTTTCTTTGCAGGGGATGCTATAGCCCAGCTGACAGATGGGGGGTCAGCCGCACCCCCATCTCAGACCGACGCTCGGGTGACTGTGTTCAGTGACAGGACAGCTATGGTCAAAGCCGCTCGTCTGCTGCTGTCCTCTGTCACTAAAGTGCTGGTCTTAGCGGATCGCATTGTCATCAAACAGATTATAACGTCACGCAATAAGGTGAAGATGAAGTTAAAAACAGAAAGAGGTTAAGCATTGCATCGGGAACACAGTGGTGGTTCACAGAAGCATCAAACACTAATCTAACAGCCATTGCACTTGGAAAAAAAAATACATTATAATTACAAGAAAATTGTGGGCACGAGTTTAGAAAGACTTTTGACCAAGGATGAAAGAGCTGCTTACACAGGACTCCACTGAAAGAAGGGCACACACAAGTCATGTTTGTGTGGAAGAAGTGAAGCTACTGTGAAGGTAATAGCAGTGAAACCGTGTATTTAGTGATCATTTAGAGGATGCTGCAGAGGGAGCAGGATGGACAGTGTTTTCCCAGAACACCTGCTGTCCCTTTAGCCAGACATGAAGAGACGGAGAAAGTTAGAAGAAAACTTTGTTGAGAATTGCAACAGAAGGTAGTTACCAGGATTTGCACTATTTTTTTTTGCATATATTTCTGTTCTGTAAAAGGACACAGTCGTCACTTTCGTTGTTTGCCATTTCTTTTTCCCTTTTCCATCCCCAGGTCTTGGTCACTCTGGACCATCTGGAGAGAGTCATCACCTTCCAGGAGTTTGTTCAGATTTTTAGCCAGTTTGGAAACGAAATGGTTGAATTTGCCCATCTGACGGGAGACAGGCAGAACGTGAGTACAACTAAAAGCAAGGGATTCTAATTAGACCCGGTATTTACAACACATTGCACTAACACTAATGAGTGAGACACAAAGCCGCATGTGCTAACTACTTGCTAACAGATGTCAATGATGATTTCAATAAACATAAACAAGCTTTAATTTGTTTTGGGTATTTTTCCCTCAAATTGACAGTCTATTTTATGAAGATACAATTCCAGGAGTAATTAGAGGATTGGGATATTCTATAATAAATTGGTTTGGCTGCTCTTGCAAACACAATATATAATCAATGTGCTACTTCAGTTGTCAAAAGCATAAAACCAAAAACTAAGTATTTAAAATTCAAAACTACATATTAATTTAATTTTAGTTTTAGGGAAGATAATGATCTATGAAGTAACAGTTTATCTCAAACTGTTAGAAATCTCACCAGCCGAAAATGCATCATAAAGAAGAGTATAAGTCGCATTTTTTCATAGCTGCCTGGGCTTATATTTGATATTTTATGGTAAATAGAATATAACATATAAAATACAATGTAATAATATCACACATAAGTCGGTCTAGAGTATAACTCGCACCCCTGGCCAAACTATAACAAAAACTGCGACTTATAATCTGAAAAATAGGGTACCTATTTTCATCATTATAAAGCTACATTTCTCAGAATCTTTTCTTCTAAACGTTGAATCCAGGGCACAAATATAAATAATAAATGTTCAGTCTGCAATAACAAGCTTTTATTACTTTTGGTTCAGTGTTGGTTCAAGAGTCCAAGAATGCACTCAGTTAAATAATTAAATAAAAGCACACATGTTGCCAAAATTGGTATCATTAAAAATTGCTATTACTTGAATTGCTCCTAATTTTGCTGAACGTTCGTATAGCACTCCACAAACAAACTCTCAGCGTCCTTTCCGCTATATCTAAGCAAAAAACTCTCCAGGGCTTACACTTAACCCTGCCTCGGCGGTTCCAACTTTGTAGTGTCAAAGAGCCTAATCTTGAGTAGATGCACACAGAACACGGTGCCGCTAAATCTCTTTCCTGCAGAAACGGATGTAAAGTGCAGCGGCTGCGATGTCTCCAGCAGCGAGGCGGTTTCATCAGGGTCCTTGTTTTGACACACACGTCACGTCGCCCTCCACCACCGCTCATCGCCACGTCTAAAGCTCTCACACATACGCAGCTTTTTATTTGTCATCTTTTTGTAAAATTAAACTCCTACCCCTCTTCACCACTCCGTCTCTCCAAAATGCTATTTTCATTTGTATTCGCTTTGAACAAAAATAATGATCGCAGTCTTTTGTGAAAGAGCCCTATCTTTTTAAACCAGATATATTATAAACTATTTTATTTTATTAGGACAAAACAATCCATGAAGTTATTCATACATTCATTTAGTGCTTTCTGTGACAATTAAGATGTAATTTGTTTGAATGAATGTTTTGCTGTGTGCTTTCATGGTCATCGTGAAGGATCTAAAGGATGAGAAGAAGAAAGCCCGGATGGCTGCAGCTCGGGCCGTGTTGGAGAAATGCACCATGATGCTCCTCACAGCCTCCAAGGTAAACAACGTCTATGTCATCTCAAGTCTGTTCAATGTATATTTGATGCACTGAATGATTGAAGTTTGCACAATATTTCAATACATCCAGAAAACATGAAATATTAAGCCAGGATTTATAGTGGAAATGCATCAAAAGGGCAGAAGTTGAAAGTTGAAGCCCAACAGACTAGAGGCTATGGGCTTTGACATTTTATGTGAATTTTCTTCCAAAGACCTGCCTGAGGCACCCGGATTGTGAGTCGGCGCGAATCAACAAGGACGCAGTCTTTCACCGCATGCGCTGTGCCCTGGAGCAGGTTATTGAGATAGTCACCGAAGCCCGAAGCTGTGGAGACAGCAAGGTCCTGCCCGTAAGCATCTACAATGGAATCAGAGATTTCAAGGTATGAGCACAAGTCCCATCAATTGTTACAAGAATCATTATGAGATGAACTGTGTGTGTTAGAGTTTGTGTGTGTGTGTGTGTGTGTGTGTGTTTTAAGCCAATTCTAATCTGTTCAATGAGCCAATTAAAACAAGCTCTGTCAAAAGTATTGTATATTTTTACATTGAACATTACCAATTCAATTTTTTCTCCCTTTAAAATGCAAAATAAATGATTTTGTCAAGTTTGTTCTTAATTTTCCCATATTTCTCTCTGATTGCGTAATGTTCAGTCGCGTGTGGAGTGCCTGCGGGAGAGCCTGTACTCGTGGTCCCCTCAGGACATGGGCTGTGAGCTGGACGGCCTGGTGGAGCGCATGGAGGACTTCACAGATTCCCCCTACACCAGCCACGAGCAGAGGCAGGCCATCCTCGGCCTGTGCCAGCTGGCACGGCAGGAGGCCCAGCAGCTGCTGCAGTGCTGGAGCGAGGTGGTGCGTTGGCAAAGCACTCATGAGCAGATGCACATACACCACCAGGAATATTCACAAATGTGTTTGGTGGCCAGAAATTGAGTACATTATGAATTTGGGCATTTTTTTATGTAATCTTGAGCTTGTTCTTAGTTTTGATATACTTACAAAAATCTAAGATTTATCTTGGAAAATATAATCACAGGGATATGTTGGATATTACAACAAGGAGTAATAACTGCTGCACTAATGAATAAGCCATATTCAAATGTTCAGACATATAGATCTACTCAAACAATCAACATCATGTGAACATTTTAGGAGTTTTTTCAAGAGAAAAGAATGACAAGACATGAAATAGAAACCTTACATATTTATATTAGAACAACATCTGTTTATTAGTCATATTAGTAAGTGTTTTGTTTCAAACCTGCTCAACAGGTTTCTAAATTAAATAATATGTACATGATATAGAGTATTTTTGTACTTACTTATACTTCCTTTCTCCTGGTGTGTGTCACAAGCAGCAGTCTGCGCATGCCAAGCAGCCCCCAGAGGACATGGAGGTGGCCATCCTCAAGACATGTCAGATCCTCAATGACCTCAGACGTGAGGTGAGCGACTGTCTCAATACACTCAAAAAGAAATTGTACCATTTCTTGGTCTCAATTACATTTCCCCTGTTTACTCATTATCAAGATTCCTAATGAAACTTCTTTCAGGACCATCATAAACTGAGGTTGTAATCTTGCTCTTCCCCTCAGCTCCATAAGGCAGCAGTGAGTCGAGCCTCAGACCAGCTCAGGGTTCAGGGCGAGCAGTTGCCCCTGAGAGCGCTCAAAGCTGCAGGAGCTGAAGGAAACCTGGAGGCTGCGGCTGAGTACTCGCGCACTCTCACTGAACAGAAAGAGCAGCTGGTCGAGGTAAACTCCATCTGCTCAAATTGTTACTTTCTTCATTGAAACCAACCCAACCACATAAGTTGCTAGTCTATAGCATAGTACAGTCAGACAACATAGATGGGAATGTGTACCCAATCCCGGTCTACTTGGACCAACAAGCGCCACATTTATCAGTCCTTTTAATAATGTTTTTAGAGCCATGTCTTCACTTTTATTGCAGATACAGCTCACGTGTCAAACAGCCGCATAGTATTTCCACATGATGCAGAAACACGTGTGACCAGACAGAGAACTATAGAGAAAGGATTCTGACCTTTGAGGTGGACGTTTGTGTCCGACTTAAGACAGACCACTTCACTTTCCTTTCTGCCAATGTCTTTTGGTATGTAACTATGGTATTGATAAGCGTGTTGATAAAGTACTGGATTCATAAGGGGCGACAGTGGCGCAGTTGGTAGAGCATTGGCCTTTGACCACAAGAACCTCTCCACCGACTCCCACTGAGGTCAGCTGTCGTTGTGTCCTTGGGCAAGACACTTAACCCTAGTTTGCCTGAAGCATCTCTGATTACCACACTCCCGGCCCAGAAATGGATTAAGGAGTAGAAAATAGATGGATGGATTGACAAGGAGAATCAATAAGGGTTGTATCAATAAATTCTAAAATAAACTATACCCATTCCTAAACAAAAGCCTCTCAGACTTCTTTCTCTACACAAGAGAATAATCAGGCAAAAGGACAATGGAGAGAGCGAAGCGTATGTTGTCTTTGGGTAGAAATGTATACTTTGTAGCAATCCAAATAGAATAAATATTGATTTCTTGGTCCATTATCTTTCTGATTTTTTAGACTTGTCAACTTCTGTGCCACGTGTCAGGGACTGAGCCGCTGGAGATAACCTGCATACATGCTGAGGAGACCTTCCATGTGATTGGTCCACAGGTACTATCATTATTAAAGCCAGAATAAGTAGCGTTTAGCGTCAGAAAACACTAAACATCACAAGCATGGTTTTATTACTTCATCAAAACTAAGTGTTGTAATAGTCAACTAATGTAATAATCGATTACCGGTAATCACATTTTGAAATTTACATTAACTAGACAGACTTAAACATGCTGAGAAGAGGTTTTATTACAGCAGAATGAAAAGAAAATGTGTTCATCAAAAACCCATTGTGTCATCTTCTCTATGACAATCATCTTTCATGATCTAAACAACTAATCGTTAAAAACATCCCGACTCTGAGTGGGCTGTAGCTCTATAAAGAATATATCGTTAAACCTTAAACCATACTGAAGACCACTTTCATCAGTTTGTTTGCAAAATCTCAACTAAGTCTAGTCAAAACAAAAATCAACATGTTCTTTTTCTTGAGTAAAAAAGAAGAAAAATAGAAATTTGCAAAAGAATCTTCCTGAATCCTGTTGTCCATTTAGAGCCCAGTACATGATGTCCATCTCCACCGAGCCCTCGCTGTCCCTGATCTAATATGTTTTCTATTGGAAAGGGTCCATGTCAGTAATAATCCCAGTGTAGAATGTCCGTGTTCGGCTGAGCTAATGTGACTCTGCAGTAATCACTCTGCCCCGGGATCAAAGGCCACGCGATCAATACGGCTGCAGTGTGAGGCCGATATCACTGTGCGTCTGCCAACAGTAATGAGGGGCCGTTCTGAGGTTAATTGGCGATTTAATAATATAGTCTTGGAAGATGTGTTTGGATTTTGTATTCAAGTTTCTCAAGTTGCTAATTCAGTAAATGGATCATCAAACAACCCTTAGCGCTCGTGCTGCAAAGCAAGAAGATCCTGGGTCCAAGCCCTGGGCCAGAGGGGGTCTTTCTGGGCAGCGTTTGCATGTTCTTCCCGCGTCTGTGTAGGTTTGATCCGCTTTTTTCAGTTTCGCTTTCCACCAAAAAGTAGGGGTGCAACGGTTTGAAAAAATCTCGTTTTGGATCGTACCTCGGTTCAGAGGCCACGGTTCGGTTAATTTTTCAAATCAGCAAACAAAAATTTGTTGTCTTTTTAATTAACTCGGTTCATGTGGCACCTGCAGGAGGATCAGTGAGGGGCTGGTGCTCTGTGTACTGGGTGCAGCTCTGACTGCCACCCCGCTGACCTAGAAATGGATGGATGGATGGAAGGCATATTCCATCCATCCATCCAATTATGTCTTTTTAACATAATTAATGAAAAACAACACAAAGTGCAACATAAGAAGGCACTTTATGAGGGTATTTACCCTCATATATTAAACCACCTTCCTGATTCTCCCAAGGAGGCGCTCCATCCTGGGCCCAGTCCAACCTCATTCACTGCATTTATTTAATTTTTGGCATTGTCAATTGTGACTGGAATATTAGTACTGGGCCTCTTTGCCTTCCATTCCTCCGCTGCTTGTGTCAGTGCCTGCGCTGTGTGCCTGTGTGACTGTCGTAGAGGGGGAGTGTCTGCAGTGCCAGACTTCTCATCTCCCAGTCTGCAGTGATGAAGTGAGCGGTTATCGTAACATAGCTCTCCGTTCCGCTCATGCATCTATCATAGGTTCCGTGGGACGTCCAAGCGTCAGTCGTGAACGCAATTGTGGATGCGCGGGAGAGTTGACTTTAGCCCGGTCTGACTGCATAAAGAGGAGGCTTAAATGCCGCGGCAATAAGTGGTTGTTGAGAAGCTTTTTTCCACTCATGTCTTTCTTGTGCCACAGTGTTTATACACCGTGGCAGTTTTGTCGAATATTTAATCATCAGTATAGTTGACAGTGAAGCCAAAATGCTCCCATACAGGGGATTTAAATGACGCGGGCTTCTCCGTTCCTCGCCATGATTACGCTGTGTGTGGACTGAACAACATGCGCACAATTTTTTTCATAAATCAAACCGCGGATCACGTCTGTACCGAACCGAAGACGTTAATCCGAACGGATCAGTGATGAACCGTTGCACCGCTACTAAAAAGATGTGCAATAGGTTTTTATTAGCCTTGCCTTAGCCATCCGTACACTCCGTTCAATCATCATTTCACTGCATGTCATTTGTACTATGGTGTGGTTCGACCAGGCTAGGTTTTTATGTGTGAGCGAGTAAATGGTTGGTGGCTGGAGGGATTCGTCACTACGAGTTAATGGGAAAAATGGCCAATTGCAAAAGCGCTTTGTGATAAAGGTTACAAATGATCAAAAATAAGGTGGTATATTTTTTTACTTTGAATTGAGAACCATTTGGACTGTTTTAAACAAGTTTAGCCAATGAGACAAGCAGTCTCGTTTTATGTTGCATGATGTCTGACTTTGTCCATTTAGTTTGGTCTTGTCTTTGATTCTGTCCGTTTTTTTTTGTTTTTTTGTGTAAATGGCAAATAAAAGGAATCAGAATCTGAAAAGTGCTAAAATGAAGATATATTTTGCACAAATCAAGAACCAATTTGACCAAGTGCAACATTGAACATAAGATACTGTACTTTACTTACAGTATTTATTTTACATTAGTAGCATAGTAAGCTCGTTGTTACTATCATTTTCTGTGCATTATGACTTCTGTATTGACCGAGCTACAGTGCCTCTCAAAAGTACTATTAATTCACGTTGAACTTTGGTCATGTTTACTACAATAAACCTAAAGATTTTTTTTTCAATGTTTTACTGAAAGTTCAACTGTGAAGTGAAAGCAAAATGATACTGTTAATAGAAAAGTGAAAAGTGTGGTGTATTCGTACAGCACTAAATTGCCTTTAATGCCTTCCTCCTGACTACTGAATGTTCACACCTCGCACTAATGATTAGATCGAGCCCACCCGTGTGAAATCAGTATAATTACAGCTGTTCTGTGAGAGCTCAGAATAGCCTCAGAGCTGTGGTCGGAGTGTATTGGTCACTAAACCGCATCATGAAGGCAAAGGAGTGCACCAGAGACATCAGGGATGGAGTTGTGGAGATGTTTGAAGATTTGTGAAATCATCCAAAGCTTTGAACATATCACTGAGCCCTGTGGAATCCATTATTCTAAATGGAAAGAGTATGGCACAACTGCAAATCTACCAAGACCCTGCTGCCTTGGTAGTCTTACAGCTTCAACATGGACAACACTGATCACAAATGCAGATCAGAGGCTAATGGTTCCTCTGGAGGAGCTGCAGACATCCACAGCTCACCTGGGGAAATCTGTACATGATATGAATCTCGTCTTTATGGATTGGTGGTAAATAAACCGTCAGTGTTGAAAAAAAGCCATCCATCCATCCATCTTCTTCCCCTTAATCCATTTCTGGGTCGGGGGGGTGGGAGTCAGAGTTGCACCCAGTACACAGAGCACCATTCCCTTACTGATCCTCCTGCAGGTGGTGAGTCCACAGGAATATTGATCTTTCAATGGGGGCTTTTAGGCAAAGTGGGGTTTAGTGTCTTGCCCAAGGACACAACGACAGCAGTCATCAGTGGGAGTCGTGAAGTAGGTCTCATGATGGGCTCGAACCCACAACCATCGGGCCCAAAGGCCAATGCTCTACCAAATGAGCCACTGTAAATAAATAAAGCCACATGTAGAAAAACAGGGGACACATTCAATATATAAAGAGGCTGCGGGCAGATGAGACTTAAATGTAACTCTTTGGTCCAAATGCAAACTGCAAATGTATGGCTCAAAACTAACATTGTCACTTAAGGAGGTGGCAGCTTCATGTTTTGGGGCTGCTTTTCTTACACAGGGACTGTATTTACTCATGCCGTATTTGTGCATTGCATACTTTTGGAAAAATAACAGAATCATGTATCATTTTGTGTTCCCTTCACAGTTGTCTGTCTTATGTGTGATCTTTCAGTAGAAATTCAATATGAAATATTTATGTGTATGGTTGTAAACATGACAAAATGGTGTATTAAGTACTTCCAGAGGCCCTGTATGGAGGATGCTTGTTTCCATGGAGATGTTATTGCTTTAACGATGATACACAGTAGTTACTGTTTCTGCTACAAAAACAAAACAGGCAGGATAAATTGGTTTGATGCCACTCTGAGGAATATGACTCTTCTATTCTTGTATGTTTACACGATGAAAGTATGATGAAAAACTGTGACGCTACCATCTATTTTGAAGCGTTTTTCTCCTCACGTCTTTTCAGATTATTTCTGCTGCTCAGACGCTGGCTCTTCACCCGTCCAGTAAGATCGCAAAAGAGAATCTGGACGTGTTCTGCGAGGCCTGGGAGTCTCAGCTTTGTGACATGGCTTTACTCGTCAGGGAGATCAATGATGTTTTTGAAGGCAAGCGAGGTGCGTTTTACTTCACTTAACAAAACTATAGAGTCGGCTCTGCAAACGAGGCTGATGCACCGAGAGTGAGGGGTTTGTGAGCCTGAAAACAGACTATAACATTTGTTTGTGTTTTTGGAGAATGAACTGTTAAAGCAGAAGCATTATTAATAAGAAATGTGTTCAATTAATCATGGCACGATGTTAGAAGTGACTCACACAAATCTATTTTTCCTTTTTCTCAGAAAGACACAAATAATGAAATAAATAAAACCCACGCAATCTGGTCAGCTGTACTTTCTCTGACTATCTTATGTCTAACCATAAGTTATTCTATACCCATATGGATTGATATCTGACTACTATAGTGTTGAAAATTACTGAATTGTTCTCTATAATAACTGCATAACGGTAAACATTAGAACATTAAACATACATTAGTTCATTCAAGGGGAGCGTTTTAAACTCCCTTTGAGCATCATGCCTCTTAGTATTGAATTTGTAAAAGTAAATATGTAGTTATGAGTTATAGTTATACAGTGTAACTTTAATTAAGGTTAATTAGGCAAGTTATTGTGAGGATGGAAAGACTTAAGCCTAGAGTATACTTGCGCGGCGTGGCTTACGTTAGCGGTTGCGGTGGACCTACGTAAGCACAATTGATGTTATACTGGCGCGTTCCCCTTACGGAGTTTTGAGGAGAATGTTGTAATCCCACAACAAACCACATGAGGGCGATCACACAGGAGCGGTCCCATTTACGCTGCTACTTTGTCCTCTTCAGAACAACAATAGCAAACAAAGCTGTTTGAGCTCATTACACGTGTTTCTACTGCAGGTTTATGTGATAGTTTTATGGATTCATTATTTTATAAGTCATTTCAACTGTGATGCTGTGAATAAAGACACAGTTCTTGTTGGAAACATAGTTATTATTAAATAGTTTTCAGCACAAACAGCAAAACAATAATAGTGGTAAATATCTGAGACAAACATGAACGATTTACGAGTGCAGGAGGAAAGCAACAAACGCAGCTACGATTCAAACAAGAATGGAACAGTGCAAAACAAGCGACTGCACAGTTTATAAGTTATATATATGTTAGATATAAGTTAGATATATGTTATATATATGTTAGATAGTCCACAGTCTCCTGTATATCAGGCTCTGAGCCCAAACTGCTTTTCCTTCGAAGCACAAAGCTCTCTGCTCCATAGTGCCTCCTCCATGCTCCTGCTGCAGCCGCTCCGTGCTACCTTCCAATACACACACACGGACCAATCACAGCGGAGATTCCTTGCGGCGACCCTTACGTAGTTAGAAAATTTCGATGCTGCAGGACAGGCAACGTAAGGGCCTTGCGGTGACCAACGCGTTGCGCAAGTGACGTCACGTCACCTCCGTAAGCTCCGCGCCGCGCGAGTATAAACTAGGCTTTATGAACCTGAACACCAGTTAGACCCGCCCCCGCAGGTTCCTGATTGGACTCAATGAATTAAAACCCTGATTGACAGCTGAGGCCCCTCCCCATTGATCTTTTCTACTCTAGCAAATAGTTTTTACTGTTGGTGCTTTTTCCAAGGGAAAAGACTGTTTTCAATGTATTTCTTATGATAAATACTATAGATGATACTATAGGGTGGTGTGATCCAAAATTGAAAATTGAAACATTTATAATTACTTGAATACAACCTGCTGAAAGGCTCTTGTCATAGTATGGAATCCCTGAGAAGTGTGGGGAAAAAATTGACTGGGATTGTGTTGTGTATAGATTTGCATAGTCATAATTCTTTTGTATTCTGTTTATAGGAGACAAAAGACCGTATTTATCACTTCCCAGGCCCGGGGTGGGTATCACACGTTCAATCTCATAAATATTCTCCTCCTACATCTCACCGCGTCGCTTTGTGATCTGCTGATTAACACTATTCTCCTTTTCGCAGAAGCATTCGGCAAACCTGAAGACTCCCAAACCTGTCAAGTCGGACACAGAGGTACGACACGTGCCATAAACCCTGGCTCACAGCGCAATACATCAACGCATGCCGTGTTCTCCGCGTGACAGTCGTACATTCATCTCCCTGAAAACCTGATGTCACTCACTTGAAAAATGTATGGTGTTCATATGGTAATAGAGTGAAATGTTGCAGGCTTGCACTTCTGTACGTTCTGCGCCGCTTTGGAAAACAGGATTACACTGATTAAAAAGATTTTGGAGATGTAAGCAATTGAGGGAATTTCCTTTTTTCCCTAATTTTTAAAGGAGATCTATCTTTGTGACAAATGACGAAGGTGTTGCAGATGACTGAGTTCACGTTTGTTTGCATCAGCAGCGCTCTTGGAAGAAAGGAGAAGGGAAATTACTGCTTTTTATCTCTCTTTCAAACATATAAATATAGTGGTATTCTTGCAATATATCTGTTCAATAATAATATGACTCTGTGATGGATATGCCTTTGCTGAACCGAGAAACTGAACAGACCAGACTGATTATGAGCTATAGATGTTATAATATAAACTGTATCCTTTTTGCTATTTTTATTCAAGTTTATTGCATCAAGTTGTATTTTACCATTGCACATAATGGTTTAATCATTGTGAACATTTATCCACAGACATATACAATCACTCATTCCTAAATTAGTTAAAAAAATAAATAATAAAAAAATAGTAGAAGAAAAAAGAACAAATTCCCACCCCCTGTACATATTATTCACTTGCATGTTCACGTTTGTATAGAATATATATAATTATTACCCACAATTTTCTATCTGTTTGTTCAAAATGTTTAACTTTTGATACTAATGAATACACCCCATTATGCAATATATGGCCAATACCATCGTGATTTGAATATTCTCATGTTTGAGCTGATATTGTCCTGTACACCAACTTTTTTCTCGTTCAAAATGATTCGTTATGAATGACTTTGTATAATCCTAGAACTTGGCTTATCGTGTGTAACTTTAACCGTCATGAATGTGCGGTGTATCCAGGAGCAGACGAGTACGGTTAAGCTGGGTCTGGAGCTGCGGCTGCTGTCCTCTGATGTGGACTCTGAAATAGAAAAGTGGGACGATCAGGAGCATGAGATTGTGCGACAAAGCCAGGGTCTGGCCAGCATGGCGTACAACATGTACCTCTTCACTAGGTTATTGCACCTTTAATTCACAACTTTCCATTGTCACCATTCTTCTCAAAGATTACCTTAAAGCTATGTTTGTCTTTGTTTCCCAAAGAGGAGAGGGGCTACTAAAAACAACTGCAGACTTTTTCCATCAGGCTGAGGTCTCTTTATTTGTATTGTTTGTATATATTTCACAAAAACTTATGTCGTAGCACAACTACGGTATTTATTATGTATTTGATTGACACTTCGCAGGTTCAGTCTGAAGAGGGTCTCCAGTTGTGCTCATCTCTTCGTACCTTTGCTGTCCAGGTAAATACAGTACACACAGATCTTCTCAGAAGTTTATATACCCTGGCAACATTTATGATTTCTTGGCCATTTATCAGAGAGTATGAGAGTATCACTATTCTATGCATGATTTCTTCAATGATGATCAGTGTCAACTTTTAAATAATCTATGAAGTTGTGTCCCACTCTAATGAACTGTGTTCCACTCTAAATGCACACAATAGCCCGCTCTTCCTCTGCTTCCGGTTTCACCCATTTCACCTTCTTAACACGACATGATCCCGGGAACAGCCCATAAGTCACACCGCCTCAGCAGGAAATTAAGACAGTCAGACACTTTCACTTCTCTTCCGTCCGACTTCAAAACAAACATGGCTTGGATATCTCCCTCGCTGCTCCTCATACATTTCTCCTTTTGGTCAATTTTAATTAAACTCACTAAACACTGATGTGTATCTCTGGCTTCTGTGTCACTGCACATGTGCAGGAGGAAAGGATATTTCATTATTAGGAGCTATTTTCATGAACACCTATTTGCAAGTATTAGATCAATTATATAATTGTCTGTATTATACGTACCTACTGTTAATTATATATTGATACAACCAGCTCAGAAGGCAGCCTTTTATAAAATAACCAGCATATCTATAATATATATCTGTGTGTGTGTGTGTGTGTGTGTGTGTGTGCACTTGTTTTCAACTCCTGGTGGGTTCCATAACCTGAGATTCCACTCACGTCATGGGGACTGGTTTTACGTGGTGGGGCCCGAACACCGGACCCCACTGGTCCAAGCTTAATAATCAATGGGTAATGCTTTTCTAACGGTCCTTATGCAGTCTCTGTAAAAATATGGAAAGGACCCCTGGAGGTTTACTTTCCTGAAAAAAGTGTGTTCTGTGTCGGAACCCTGGTGGTGGGTTGCGGAATATCAAGGAGGGGCACACTGGGGCAATTTCAGTCCAGCAGGCTGGAGCCAATCATGGAGCAGCACAACAGAGGAAATCAGGTGTCAGGCTAGAAAAGGTGCAAGTGTGTGGTTCATTAGGCTGCAAGAAATCATGGAGGAGCACACTGAAGCGCACGCTTACAAACCACTGGTAAGTGCTGACTACAAGTCATGACTTCAAATTGTTATATAGAATTATTACAAATGATTTGTTGTTTGTGCAGCTTAGTCAAGAGTCCCTAATTGATGAAGTCGACTCAGATTCTGACGATTTAACTGTCAAGAAGAAACCTGTAAAAAAAGTATGGAAAAAGAAAAATCAAAAACACTTTTCTTCAAGACTCGGAAAGTGACGAACCAAAGGCAAATAAGATTGTTATCATGCAGCTGCAAAAGAAGAAAAATGGGGGGCGAGTTTACAGCAAGAGACACTTCTGCCTCTACTGTTCAATGTCCTGCCACAAAATGTCCCGTCATTTGACTAGAAAACATGGAAATGAAAGTGACGTAGCCAGAGCATTGGCTCTACCTGTGAAATCTAAAGCACGTAAACTTCAGTTTGATTTGATCAGGAATAGTGGAAACCGTGAGCACAATTTTGAGGTTTTAAAGGCCGGCATTGGAACTTTAGTCCCAGCTAAACAGCCAAATTCCCCAGTTAAATCCAGTGAGTTTTTGCACTGTATAGACTGTGGGGCATTGCTTAAGCGAAAGTGGCTGTGGAGGCATGTGGCCAGGTGCCGGCTTTCACAGAAAGATGCCCAGGCTAAACCAGGTAGAAGTAGGGTCCAGTCCCTCTGCTCCCTAGCCCAGCCTGTACCGGAAGGCATCAGCAAAAAGCTGTGGTCTTTAATTTCGGCAATGCATCAGGATGAGGTCACGGGTGTTGTCAAAGCAGAAAAGGGGATTCTGAGACTCGGAGAGCACCTGTACTTAAAACACGGGCATGATAAGACTAAGCATGATTACATTAGGCAGAAAATGAGAGAAGTCGGTAGGTTAATTAACGAAGCAAAAACCGCAGGGAAACTGAAAACAATTAAGGATTTCTTTATTCCTTCCAACTTTAACCATGTGATTGATGCAGTCAGGTCTGTGGCTGGATATGATGAGGAAACAAATCAATACAAGACTCCATCCTTGGCCCTCAAACTCGGCCATAGCCTCAGAAAGCTAGCAGATATTCTTGAATGTGACTCAAAAATGGAGCATTGTGTTGATGAACTATTTATTAAAAACCTCCAACGAAGCCGGCTGCTTTTTGAGAAGAGGTGGGACGTCTGTGTTTCTTCTGCAGCCCTACAGACCCTCCGGCAAGCCAAGTGGAACACTCCGGACCTGCTCCCTCTGACTGAGGACGTTAGAGCCATGCATGCACATATTGAGGTATGTCGACCTGAATATGTGCAAACCCTAATAAGTGAGCCAACGTCTAAGCATTGGTCTAAACTGGCAGTTTTGACTCTTTGTGAGGTCATCATTTTCAATCGAAGAAGGGAAGGTGAGGTTTCAAAGATGCCACTGACAGCCTTTACCTTAAGAAGTAAGACTGGGATCCATTCTGACATTGCTCTGGGACTGTCCGAACTTGAGAAAAAGCTGTGTCAGCATTTTCAACGCATTGAAATTAAAGGGAAAAGAAGTCGGAAAGTGCCGGTTCTTTTGACTCCTGAAATGATTGCTTGGATGGAGGTGCTGGTGGAGAACAGAAGGGCCTGTTCCATCTCTGACCATAACCCATACTTCTTCTCCCGCCCGGGCGCAGACACCCACATCAGGGGATCAGACTCCCTACGGCAGGTAGCCAAAGAATGTGGTGCGGTGCATCCAGAGATGCTATCCTCAACCAAACTTAGAAAGCACATAGCTACTATGTCTACAGTTCTCAATATGAAAGAGAATGAAATGGACATACTGGCCAACTTCCTCTGCCATGACATTCGCATCCACAGACAATATTACAGACTACCAGAGGGGACACTGGAGCTGGCCAAAATCAGCAAAGTGTTGATGGCCATGGAGCAGGGAAGAGTGACGGAATTCGAAGGAAAGAGCCTCGACCAGATACAAATTGAGCCTGAAGGTAATTCTTGATATTATTAAAATATGTATGATTTTTTTCCCCTAAAGGCCACTTGTATTTTTATTTTCTGTGCGACAGGGAGAGCAGTAGAGATCCTCTCACAAACGGACGGGCTAAAAGAAACTTCAAGCGGAGAACCTTCAACCATTCATCCAGATGCACCCCATGGTAGTGGCAGTGCCCCTTCTGGTAAGTGTACCAGGTGGGGGATTACAGCCAGGCTGCTTGGTCCTAACCCTGGGAGTGTATATTGCTAATATATTTTTATTTCTCTCCCTAGAACGTGTAAGAAAGCCATGGTCTGCATCTGAGGTGAAGGCTGTGGAGAAGACCATGACACCTTTCATACAGACTGGAAAAGTCCCTGGGAAGTCTCACTGCCTGGCCTGCATTAATGCCTCACCAGATGACCTTAGACATCGGACATGGAGTGGCATTAAATTCTATGTCAAAAATAGAATCACTGCAATTCGAAAAAAAAAATCTAAAATAAAATTCCTTTAAAAGAGTTGTTTGTTTTCTATTGACTGTTTTGTATTACTTAAAGTAGTCCCAGTAAAAAAAGATTATGTCTATGGGTCCCATTCTGAACGGCCCTGTCAAAGGGACCCACCAGGTAACAAAAACGTGTGTGTGTGTGTGTGTGTATTACCAATGCTGACTAATGGCCTTGACCATTTGTATTGTGAGATTTCAAATCTGAACTGACAGGAAACTAAATTACGTATTATGAGTGAAATCTCACTTCCTTTTAGACCAAGTATTGAATATTTAAAACAAGAAAAAAACATTTCTTTGCTTTTATGTGTTGTAGTTAGTTGATGAAGAGAAGTCCACTGTGTTGACGGAGATGGAGAGACTTGTGGCTTTGTGCCAGCAGCTCCAGATGGGGGACAAGACTTATGCACAGGGCAAGACTGCCACCTTCCAGAAGGTATCCTTATTGCACCTGAAAGATGATCTGACTAACTGCTGTTTTGTGTAGCTGTAAACTACGTAAATGATTCAAGGTTTCCCCAAAAGAAGTAAAAGTCATTTGAAAACCTTTAACTACATCCAATAACAACCATATTCTTTTCAACTTCTTTTTGTCAACCTTTGTAAAGCTGAGGCCCTGTGGGGAATAATCTTATCTTGTTTATTACAGTGTAGTGTCAATAGTAGCCTGGCTTTTGCGTAATTTTGATCTACAAATAACACCAGTGGTGGATAGTGAGTTGGGATAAGTAATGTCTATGTGGATTTAATGAGCACATTGAGCTCAACTTGTTTGTTGCACTCTGGCCTTTGATTAACTCTTGTCTCAGAATGTTTAAAATCACATTGTTGGCCTATAACTGTTCTTGTGTACAGTACATTTTTATTTGCATTTTGGATTAATTGATAACTCTTCATGACCTTAAGGTGGACACATGCATTCAGGCGACCAGAGGCCTGATGACTGTGGTCCTCTCCTTGCTGCCCTACTGCAATAAGCTTCACAGAAAGGTATCTTCAACAATGTCTCCCCTTCATTAAGTTCCTATCCTGTACTTACAAGGGTTTATTAAAGTATGTATTCAAATGTATTTATCAAGAAGTATAATAAGTTTATAAAAACAAAGACATGATTTCTGATCTATTATAACATGTATTATATACAAGTTATTTTACATGTTGTGTGTGTTTTCTCCACAGTATAAGTCAGAGAGGAGCAGCCTGGGTTCTCCTCAAGACTGGAGAGAGAGACAGGACTCATCTGTCCCAGTCAAAGAGGAAAACGCTCTCAACGGCAAGAATGGCCCCAATGGTTTAGGCGTCAGATCACTGGAACAGCACATGGCAAACATCAACCTGCTGGAGACAAATTAAATCACAAATCAGCTTGTGTAGTTATTTATATGGAGGCAGTTCTCCTCCTAAAGAGGGAGGGGGGACAAATAATTTAATTTTAAGCCACTGAAATCCCAAACACATGGTACAAGACCCATTCCACCCCAATCCATTCCACTCCGAGATGGAGACAATCAGTCCGCACAAACGTTTGTAGAAAGTGTTAAGGAAGATGCTTGAGGCTTTAGCCAAACATTCATTTCACAATGTGCCTCCGTGAGACAACCGTGTGTGTGCTGTATCTTTCTAATGTTGCACCTGAGGCCAAAACATAGTTGGAAATCTGTGGCTCTAACACTGCATGTTACCAAAAGTATCAAATCTGTCCCTTTTGTCTGTGAATCGATTTGTAATGGTTACTTGTGTTATATCAGTGATTGTGGCCATTATATTCTGTAGAATTTTGATTTTAAAAATGTGATAATGCCATAAGTTTAATTTGCCGTGCAATGAAACGTGCTATGCTACTGTCACAATGCAAAACTCTAAAGCCAAATAACTCTGTTCTGTTAAGATAATTATTTCTGAATACAATGTAAACTGCTGTTCTGTCTGATTTATGTCTAAACTGTAACTAGGATGCTTTTGTAACTCGCTTGAAGGTAAAGGAAATAGTGAGTGGATAGGGTTGTTATGAAGACTTCCATCTTAAGCTACATGTCAACAGTGTATTTAATGTTTAATGGTACATGAAGCATAGCTGTCTGATAAAACTGTAAAAGGGTACGACCGATGTAAATGAGGGCCATTGACAGAAACTAAATATGTAAACAGTATATTGCTGTATATATTGAGCGAAGGTAGATTATTGTTACTGTGGAAATAGCAGAGTTCTAGTTTTGAATCAATTATTCTTTTGACTGAGCTCATCTGAAAGTTCGGAGATTCAAATAAACCATATTTTTCTTATGTCTGACTTGTGTTTTATTGATCTTGTTAAATAAAATAATTACAAAAAAAGTTATCTTCTGACAATTTGGGACAACGTAATGAAAACATATCCTGCATTTACTAAGTATCACAAATGAATTTGTGCAATTCCAAATAATCCAAGAGAACACAGCAGCATGGGTATTCCCAAGCAAACGAAAATGAGCCAATTTGAATAAAAGCTTGAGAAAGATGCATCATAGTGTCATGTCCTCAGTAACAAAAAATAAACTATACTGAAAATAAATGTTCTCATGATTCCAGTGGTCTTCCAGCAGTCTGTTTTCCATCAGGACGGTTGCGAAGGCAAATTGTTTCGTTTTGCGACAACTTTCTCAAAGTCTTCCCTCGTCAGAAGGTTTTCTGTAATGATCTTGCTCTCCTCAAGCTTTGGCAAAATGACAGCAATATATCCTTCGGTGAATGGCTGTTGAATGATAAAAGCAAGATCAAGTACCATCACCAGAGCACAACGTAAATACACTCCATTTGCCACTACGTATATCTCACCTTTTCCAGTAGTAAAGACGGAGTTTCTAGAATAGCCTCGTTGACTTCTAGAAGTCTTCCTCGAATACAACTGAAATTGAGAAAACAAATTAGACAAGAAAAGTTCTGAAATATATATATTTTTTAAATCTCACCTATAAATTGTATATTCAGTTTCATCTGTGCATGTTATTCTACACAGAGGAGCGAAATCTGTCAGGAACTGGCCTCCCTAAAAGAGAATTATGATCTATTAAGAGCAAATATAACGGAAGACTTTATATTCTAGTGTAGTCGTTTTACCCGCTTGGATTTTCCAGATACTTTGTTCTTGAGTCTACTACAGCCATCACTAATTTGGTAAGTGATGCATTTAACAGTCCTTCCATTTTGAAGAATAGGATGAGTTTCTGCCAGAGTAACAACACAAATTCTGCAAAAGAGTGGGACCAAGACAAGAGTAAACATGTCGTTGTTATTGACTTCTCTAATAACAATTCATATTGAGAACTGCACCTGTTCGAATGCTGCAAGATACAATGATCTTCACTTGATTTCCCCTTCAAATCTTAAATAAAAATAACACAAACAATATATGCATTAATAGCAGTAAGAACGTTTAAATTGTGGCTACGATTGTCTGAAATAAATAAATGTAGCGTAATAATTTGTTTAGAGTAACTTTAGAGCAAAGCTATGAAGCTAACATGACATGCTAACTACAGCGAGCTGTACCTGCTCTGTACCATCGTGTGTAATATCTGTCAATAACTGAGGGAGCCGGCTCTGCCTCTACATGTGTCACTTCGTCCATCAAAACCAGAGATTATACAGTTTAGTCCAAAGTGTTAGATTTGGCTGATATTACAAAAGATTTATAAATGCCGACACGACTTTTCGGTCCATAAAATTGGTCCGTCTTTGAAATAATTCCGACTTGAATCACAACCCAAAACTATAGATCCGCGGATGAATTAAACTTGAGGTATTTGCAGTCTATGCTGGGGTAGCTGGGGTAGCTCCGTTTTTGGTTATAAACAGATAATATATTTTGTGTGTCTCAACCTTAGACTGTCTCAACAGAAAGAGTCATGTAAAAGTATCATTTTTTCTTTTTTTAAAACACACCATGTTGTCTTCATCTTAAAATATTCGGACTGAGCTGATTGCCGGTGTAAGGATGCTGTCTGAAAAGATTATCTAAATTTGTGAAGCCAAGAATATATGCATGTTAGATTTTCATTGTCTATTGTTGCTGCTGTCGGGAAGGGCACACTCGCATGATCTATTTCCAAAATTAGAATGCAAAGTTACCATACTTTTTCCACCAATGCACAGCTTTGACTTTGAGTGGCTTTGTAATTGTAATTATCTCCACTAGATGTCAGAACAGGGCTTCGAGATGCGAAATGAATAATAATCCGGCTACTCATACACATTCATGAAGAAATGTGAAAACTAGGCTTTACACTGGTCCACTCCAAACCCATGATCTATTCCAATCTGTCCCAAAGAGAGCTTCATTCATTTAAACCAAATTAAAGGCACAGAAAGGATGAAAATATACGTTCAGAAATGACAAACATTACATAATAATCGCTCAAATTAGGGGTAAATCATATTTGATCTTGAAGAATGAAGATTTACCAATAAACGTGTGACACATCTGCCAGATGTGATAACTAAAGGCTCCGTCTCATTCATTATAGCTCAAAATAAAACATGCATCAAGTGAATGATGGCTCATGAACTATTGTTGGCGTATGTTTTGTAATTTACAAATTAATCTTTAATCATCATCTTTAATTTACAGAAGTATGTCAGCTGGAGCTTTAAAGGCACAATGACTTTTCCATTTGTCTAATCACCACGTCTAGGAAAGTTTCCTTCTTCTTAATCAGGGGAACATTTTCCAAAGACTTTATTGCATCACCACAGCGCCACCCATTATGTATTCCAACTTTAAACTGCACCATGTTTAACATGTCTTCCCATATGCTTCATAACTAAAAAGTCATCAAGTTATTATCTGAATGTGTGTTTTGTACACATCGCCTCAATGGAGTTGTTATTGCTTTAACCATCAACCCTGTTAAATATATGTAGGAGTACTGTAAAAGTGCAAAAAACTATGATTTTGTTTATTAATGTATTAAATGTTTTGAACAGTGGTACTCAAATAGCCGGCTGGACACAGACATTCTAATTTAATTGTTATTTTTTTTAACGATTTGACAAAAAATCCACGTGACATTTTGACATTTTGTCAGAATCAGAATCAGAATCATTTTTATTGCCACATAAGTAACAGGAGGTCACAGACTTGGAAATTGCTTTGGCTCGGTGCAACAGTCAGAGAGAGAGAATAAAAAATAGAGAATAAAAAACACTTCTAAGGAATAAATGTAAAATTAAAATAGAGTTAGAATTACTATATAAAATATACAGTGCACATGGTGCACACAATGTAAGAACGCAATACTACTTTGGAGTTGTATTAAGCAGTGGCATCAGAGCTGTCTGTGTATCCTGGACGACAACACATCCGCATTCTCACCTCTGGGACATTAGTGTCTCAGCTCATCATGAGGCAGCTGTGTGAGAGGAGGTCTGCTTTCACTGTCCTGATTGTGACTCAGCAGTCTGTATACAAGATTTTGAATAAGTGTAGGTTGAGAAAAGAAATTTATTCTTATTTTATTCTTAGATTAAAATCACCTAAACACCAGGCGTGAATGAATCTGAATTGTTTTGGACTTGAAAGTAGAAAAAGCCTGAATTGATTCATCACAATCCCATTACCTCTCTGCTGCACATGTGTTTTCCTTTTATTGAAGAAAGACTGAATCATTTGTGCACACAGGGCACTGTTCAAGATATTAGATCTTTCCATCTAATATTTGACCATGTCAAACACACCATGCACTTCACACCCTTTAATAAGCACAGAAATGTGAACGTAAGAATAATGGGGACTTTATTGTAGGTTAGTTTATTAATGTCTAATCATACTAAAACATGATTCTAACCAGCAAGCGCGGCCTCATAAAAGTGAGAGGAAGTGGTCTTGCTTTTGGTTTGCCCTTTGTCACAATGCTGCTCTTTCAGTGAGTATATATAGAGGTGTGTGACAGGAAGACTAATAATGGCTTTTTCTCTTTTTTAATAAACCAGACATATCGATCACCATACATTCCCACATCTCAAATTAATACATCTTTGACCTACAGACCATTCGTTATAGTTGCTACTTTGCTGTGCTCTTTCATTTCAGTGATTAAGAAGTGCTTTAGCCTCATTCCTGGCCTTCTCTGCTGTCATCTTGTCATTTCCTGGAGACAAATGGGGTTCAAATGGGAGCTGAGGGCAATGGAAAGAACACTCAACTCTGCCAGGTAACTCTCAAAACACTACCGCCAGAATTGGGGGATTTCATTTTGGATTTGTACCACATATTTTCGTTTAGTCTGTAAATATCTTTGAATTTAGCATTCAATAAATTACCATGGACTTTGGTTGTAAGCAAAACATTATGATTTAGGAAGCATGTGCACAGTACTGGCATTAATTAGCTACTTTTGAAGCCACGTGGCCCACATCTGCTTTTCGAAAGTGGGGGAAAATGGTCTTTTGACGTAATGTGGATTTTTGTCTACTTGTTAGAGTGTTTTCAACTTTTCACAGCTTCTTATATCGTGTTGGAACTGAAGGAGGAGCAAATGTTTGCACGTCATAGAGGGTCATTGTTAAGTAACTTCAAGAAGGATTTGGCCTTTCTGTATGCTTTAAAAGTGCTCTTGGTTGAAGTGTGTAAACAGATGACTTTATCTCCAGCCTTTCACAAATATAAATAAACTCTACAGCCCTGTTTTTTTTTATATATATATAGAACTGGGCAAATCATTATTTTCATTGGACCAAAAATAGTACTTAAAGGACTTTGACAGACTGTATTACAAAAGACTATGACACACATGACAATATTTCAGTGATTTGGAAAAATTCATCAATCAGCTACAAAAAATACACTTCACAGCCACTTTTCCAGCCACAAAAAATGAAAACTATCTACTGGTCACTATATCTCATTCTTAGTATTATGCAAAAGATATTTTTTTTTAAAAGTTTTCTAATATATTATTTCTGTTGGGACCAAAAGTGAATTATTTAGGATGGAAAAAGGTTAGGTACTCGAGCTTTAATGGTACAGCATGTGGTTGTTATATTTTGCTAAAAATAGCTACACAAAACCATATCCTCTGACTATTTCTTGTCTTTCTCTGCAGTCTGCACTGTAAAAAAAAGTGGCACAGATATTTTAGAAATTTCTGAAATGAGGCAAAATAATTTGATTTGTGTACATTTTTGCCAATGGGACAAACATGTTTTAAAACAGTTAAAATGGACTCAATTAAGATAAAAAATACAAAATTTAATTTAAGACTGTTTCAACTATTTCTTATATTTTTTGCAGTGTGTTTGTCTGTTGCAAAATTGAGACCTATTTAAAACCAGACGTAGAGCGACCATAACTAGTGTCTCTGTAGAATTCTCACTTTGACATTGCTTATTGTTTTCAAAGCTGTGAAGCAACTTAAACAGGAGGAGGACAAATTGCTTTAATTTAGGAGGGAGTGAGCCGTGAGGTTGTTTTGACCGAGCAGAATAAACATTTATGTAAATTTTTGTGACTCAGGAGAGAATAGAGCCGTGAAGGTTTGGACAGCTGGGTGCAGGCTCCAGGCTGATGATGTGGCCACTTTAAAACATGAACAAATCGGAATTTAAGATTAAGATGAAGAGATCCTTTATTCGGCCCACAGTGGGGAAATTTCAGTGTTGCATCGCCAGTTACAGAACAGTAGGAATGAATAGCACACAAGATGAATGCACAATAACTTTATACATAATAAAATACAAATACAAATAAAAATCTCTAATTCTAGCATAAAAAGAAGCAGTCTATTATAACTAAGCAGTCATTTTCAAACGCATTTATGTGGAGATAATATTTCCCCTGGTTCAATTATGAATTTATTGTTTATTTGTTGAAAAAAGAAAGGTGAGATCAGTGGTTTGTTTGCCGGTTTAATCCTTATTGCACAAAACAAATGCGACAGGATTAGATGATTTTACGTGGATAGAATAATAATAATCTTTATTTGTATAGATTAGTTTGTATAGCTTCAACTACACGTTTATTAATTAGTGTCTTAATGATACTACATTTCCAACTCGAGTTTGAGTCTAGAAAAACACAAGATGCTAATTTCAATGCCACATCAATTATTTATGCTTGTTTTGGACATTACACTTATTATACAGTACATGGAGAAACTGAAAATCATTATAGGGTTGGTAAATTGAATTGGTTTTTAGACTTAAAACTTTTGGTTGAGGTTTTTACAAGCTGTGATCCATAAATATCAACAATAAGGGCTTAGCGTGACGTTCTATATGTATTGTATCTGTTATATATTAGTTTCACACATTGACTGTATATAGATGAACAATGCTAATCTGCTAGCTCAATGATGCCCAATGGGGAAGTGCTCATGAACAAAGTTTTGCTTCTTATCGCTCTGGATCCTATTGACTTCCACTGTAACGCGAGTTCCTCTATAGCTCAGTAACCGCTTGTGTCACACACGTCAATCAATCAATCAATCAACGTTTATTTATAGAGCGCCTTTCCTACACAAGGCAACGCAAAGCGCCTCACAACCCATATAACATCATGCATAAATCATCAAACATTAGAATTTAAGTAAACATAAAAAGACAGATTAAGAGCACAAGATATATAAAATCACACAAGTAGTTAAAAACCGTAAAAAATTAAAATCACACAAGGGATTACAATCATAAATAATCATAAATAATCATAGCGCATTAAAAAGATTAAAGATAAAAACAAATGTAAAATCATTCACTTGTATGCACAGCTAAAAAGAACTGTTTTCAGTTCAGTTTTAAAAACTGCTAGAGTAGACGCCTGTCTCACACTCTCGGGAAGACGGTTCCAGACTCTAGCCGCATGAATCTGAAACGCAGCCTCCCCATGTCTAGTTCCGACTCTTGGCACCAACAGAAGTCCAGTCCCTGTGCTCCTCAGAGCCCGAGCTGGTTCATATGGCACCAACATGTCGCGGATGTACCCTGGTGCGAGGCCATGGAGAGACTTGTACACAAGTAAAGCTACTTTAAAATCTATTCTCTGAGCCACAGGAAGCCAGTGCAGAGACCTGAGGACCGGACTAATGTGGTCGTACTTCCTGGTTCTAGTCAGGACTCGAGCTGCAGCATTTTGGATGTACTGCAGCTGTTTTACCGCTTGTTTAGAGAGACCTGTGAACAAGCCATTGCAGTAGTCCAATCGACTGGAGACAAATGCGTGGATAAGAATCTCCAAGTCTGCTTTAGACACAATGTTTTTAATTTTAGCAATGTTTCTTAGGTGGAAGTAAGCTGATGATGTCACAGATGATATGTGGCTATTGAAATTCAAGTCTGAGTCCATTATTACTCCTAGATTTCTGACCTGAGTTGAGGGTTTCAGGGAGAGAGACTGGAGGTGGCAGATAACGCTCTCTCTTTGTTTCTGAGGTCCGAAAACAATAATTTCAGTTTTTTCTGTGTTTAGCTGGAGAAAGTTATTTTGCATCCAATCACTGATCTGTTGGATACAGTGAAGGAGCGAGTCCACTGGTCCATGTTCTCCTGCTGTCAGGGACACATAGACCTGAGTATCGTCAGCGTAATTGTGATAGGACACGTTATTACTGTGTATTAACCTACCCAGAGGCAGCATGTAAATATTAAACAGGAGAGGCCCCAGGATTGAGCCCTGTGGCACTCCGCAGGTCAGGGCCAGATGGTCTGAGACACAGTTTCCGATCTCCACAAAATACTTTCTGTCCTGTAGGTAGGATATAAACCAGCTTAGGGCTGTTCCAGAAACACCAACCCAGTCCTCAAGTCTCTGAATGAGGATACCATGATCGACAGTGTCGAAAGCAGCACTCAAATCTAACAGGATAAGAACTGAGACTTTTCCTGCGTCAGTGTTAAGTCTGATGTCATTTGTTACCTTCACTAGAGCGGTCTCTGTGCTGTGGTGGGGTCTAAAACCAGACTGGAACATATCAAAAGAGTGATTGATTATTAAAAATTCTGTAAGTTGTTGATAGACAACTTTTTCTAGAATTTTACCCATGAAAGGCAGATTTGAAATGGGCCCGATAACTTTTAAGTGCCAAGGCATCCAGACTCCTCTTTTTTAGGAGGGGTCTGATGACTGCCGTTTTCAGGGCCATTGGGAATGTTCCAGATTCAAGAGACATATTTACTATATGCGTGAGTGAAGGTAAAAGACTGCTCAGAACAGATTTAAGAAATCTAGGAGGTAATACATCCAGGCTACATGTAGAAGAACTCAGACTTGTAATTATCATTTGGACAGTTTCATTTTGTACTGGTGTAAAGTGTGTCAGCCCAAAAAGCTTCACTGGCTGACGTCATTTTGGGCAAACAACTCTGTGGTTTAGGGCTCATATGATCCTGTTGTTTATATTTTGATATTGTCTTTTTTAATCCAGATATGAGCCATAAAGATAGACCAATCAGATGCCTTCATTTGAGGGGGAAACTCTGGCCTGCCTTAGCAACCCTCTTAGCAACACCTCTGCCCCTGTTTCGGCTCGGAGCTAACGCTGTCGGAACAAATGTTGGCGGAACAAATCAGCTTTTTTTGCATTCGGCAAACTCTGTGGGTGATGTCAGAACTCGGCTAGTCCACTCCTAAAATACAGTCTCTGGTTTCACATTATACAGAATTAAATGGACTTTTGAATAATGTTCCAATTCTTTCTTGTTTCTCCTGTATTCTTGCTCAAATTAGTATCTAGTTTTGATAGCAGGTTTAATATCGATTATCTGATTTTTGCTCCACAAAACACCTTACATTTTTTGTATAATTTTTAAAAACAAAAATGGGGTTTGGTTTGTTGTCTGACAGAAAATGATACTGATGGACAGTTCCCCGGGGGACACAGTAAACACATGTCCCTAATATATCATGTGGAAACCTTTGTGACTTGTGCTACAGTTTTTCCTCCAGCTCCACGTCGTGAGAGGCTCCAGACTCAGCAGTGACGAATGCTGACTGCACTGGGTCTCAGCGTGGTGCTCAGGCTTCCAGATGTCTGCGAGCTTTCCACTATTATAAACACACGTGCGCACAACAAGGCTTTGTTAATCAGCCGCGTGAAACTATTTTATGAGACAAAAGCATCGTATGCAAGCAATCCTGAGAGCTGAGAGGGTCCGAGCAAAGTGCAGGAGCGTGTAAACAATCCTCAGTTAGTTCTTTTATATATATGTATAGAATATCGAATATATAGCATTGAAGTTTAATCTCTAAAAGTTAACTGGAGTACCTAACTTTTGTTTCATAAATACATCTTTCTTACTACTACCAAAATAAAGTGATTTTTTGGTTACATTTTGCAAACAAATTAGACCACGACATTCTTTATCTTATGAGAAAACAGGTCATCTTTACATCTATTTAGAGCTGTTTGGTTGAATGAGGGCTGGTCTACTCTTGTATGTATAGCAGAGGTCGGTAACCTTTTTAGCTGAGAGAGCAAAAAAAGTCTCAGACTGAAAAATGTATTTCTCATTTTGGTGGGAGCCATACACATTGTTTTTACCAAGAATATTAGTAACTTTTTTTTAGATACAAGATCAATACATTCAGAGTGTAATAATGGTTTCAGAATGAAAACATTTTTAAACTAAAGAAATACAACACATTTTTACTTATTAATGCCTACTAAGTCTGAGAGCCAGACACGATCATCGAAGAGCCACACCTGGCTCCCGACCTTTAGTATCTATCTACTCTTTTTGTTAACTGACAAAGATGACATGGCTCATTATCTGTGGTTTCAAAGTTATGTTCGTCAGCATTCGTTCGTAGGCATGTTTGCATGTGAAAGCCTGATCCTATCAGATATTAGCTAAGCAGGTTAGTGCCTGGTTAGGACTGTGATGGGAGACCTCTGGAAACATCAGGTGCCACAGCGGGGCGGCTGTAAAGTGACAAACTGTTCATAAGCACAAGACACGTCACCCATAATGACTTGTATGAGTTTGGTTTGTGCATGAATCATGGTGATGATGGGAGGGGCAGATGGCACTGATTAGTAGCCTTGTCAGTCTCCTCCAGGGCAGCTCTGGCTACAGTAGTAGTTTATCACCGCTGTGTATGGAGTGAATGAATAATGTGGCATCTTTGTGTCCGAAAAGCCAATTATAGGATATACATATACAATATACATTATTTAGTTAATGTATGTTTCTGTTTTTAAATGTAAATTCTGTTTTTAAATTAAAACTTTAATGTGCAAGGGGTGGTCATCTTCAGAACATAAAAGTTTATACTTGCATTATGGTACATCTATTCCAACTTACCACATTGGAAAGAATGTCAATGAACTCTTTCGCTCATGGATCACAATGTATCGAAGTGCATAAATGACTTTGCTATTGTCCAGTGTTCACATAACCTTAATATTATTACATTGCCACAAAAATATGTCCTCAAAGTGCTTTCAAAACAAGAGTCTTTCTGAGAGCAGTCAGAGCACACACACATCGCTCTCATCGTTGCGGTCATATCTCTAGAAGTTGTCCATGTAGTCTGTATTTTGTGGGGCGCCGTATACTGTTTTGCTCCTCTTCTTCCTGTCGACTCTCGTGGTGGGCTCCTGGGAGAAGAAGAGGTGTGCGGCGATGCTGTTTCTCACTCCGTAGCTCACCATGTTGTCGCTGACGCTCTCAGGGCTCACAAGTTCCGTCCTGCAAAGAAGGAATTTACTTCAAAAAAGAGAAATACAGTGTGCATGGAATCGGCCTCAAACTACTGCACTGTGTAAAAAAGGGAAGGCAGTTGTTTGTGTTGTAAGTGAGAAAACAGTTTGAGGCGTGAGCATTGACAGAAGAAACACACAGGCCATTTAAGGAGTGACGCAAATGGAATTTTCTTAATGTTCAAGCTGTTTCAAAAGAGTGAGATTGTGAGTGGACGAGGCCACACTTGTTTGATGCTTTCACACAGGGCAGCAACGATTCATCTAATATCTATGAATCAAATCATGATTAAGAACGATTCTTTTATCAAGTATTTTAATAGAATTTCATAATTCCTCAAAACCATGATGTAAAGATGCACTTGTTTTACACTGTGGTGTCAGACTGCATTGAAAAAAAAGCTACTTATTTAGAGATTTAAAGAAGAAAGGAAGTGTCCTATATAACAACAATCTCAGTATTTCTTATGAATATATATATATATTCTCATAATATCCCTCAGATGACTTTTTAATGAAATATATTTGTAATTTGTTGTAATGTATTTAAGGATGCTTAGTGGAAAAAGGTATTTGATTGATATGAATAATAATACATTGGATTTATATATGACTTAATATTATATAATTATTCATATTAAAAAGAGAGGTGTGCGTCCATCTCTCTTTCGTTGTTGCCTGACGTGTGTGTCACCCACCTGTCCACTTTATCCCAGTCAAAGTTGCGGCGCATGATGACCGGCAGGGCTGTGGTGGTGCTGTCTGTCTGTGCCGGAGCCGCCGGAGAGAGACATGGAGTGGTCAACATGCAGCACAGCCCATCTGCACAATCTGAAACGTACACAACACAAATGTCATGAATATGGATTCTGTGAGCCTTGTTTTCATGTGTGTTTTGGTACAAATCTGATAAGTGCTCGCTATTTTTAGTTAATCTCCAAACCAGATGAGCGTGCGTACCGGAGTAGTGGTGGATCATATCTTCGAGGCACTGGAAGGTCAAGCGAGGGGAAATGTAATACCAGCTGTTGTCCAGTCTGTAGATGCGATAGTGCTTAATGTTCCTGTGCTTCACGGACAGAGAGTACACACCTGAAACAGAACCACCAACACTAGTCAGACGGTAAACTAATCATAGATTGGAGATATTTTTCAAAGCCGAAGTAGAAAATGTTCTTCAAGTCTTAATTTTAGACTAGATCTCCTAATATGGCCCAGCCTCACTTGATGATTTACTCTTGGGACAAAGCCAAGGGTCGAGAAATGAAGACGAGGCAGCGGCAATTTCACCTGTACATGTTTTTTTTCCCCGAGTCAAACAAAAAGAGTTAAGGCCTTTCATATAATTTGTGCCAATGTGCATAAGAACAGAGACGTCATGATTTGAGATATTAATAACAAATGAAATAGATAGTGTAGTAACAATGTGGCAGAACAAAAATAGTGCTTCAGATAATCATTTTTAGCAGTAATACAGATATAACTCGGGTCCACAGTACAAAACATGCAGGTCATATTGCATATGCTTCCCCTTGACCACACAAGTAAAAGTGTTGTGTTGCCCTTGTTATGCTAACTCACATGCATTAGAGTCAGCATTGTGAGTATATTCTGATAAAAGAGCGTTTCTTGTCCTTTCTGTGAAAGCTCCTTCAGTTATTTCAGTTTTGGATAGTAACACAAAACATTACAAACACTACATTACAAGTGAATTTCGAAGTCAAAAAATGTCATGTTTTTTTGACTGAAGTTCTGGGGCCTTACTGCTATATGTGGGTGCAGTATTCCAAAATGGTGAAGTGGATGTTCTTGTGAATATGCCCATAATGTTGCAAAAAAGACAGCATGCATTTGAACTGTGTCTCCATAAAACAGGAGAGAGCCCTGTTTTTGTTTTGACTATTAATGACACACAATAGAATCTGAGGCTGACATGAAAACTTTTCCATGAGAGTTGGGATGGCAGGGTTGGATGCAGAGTTTATATTTCAGAAAACAAAAATCTGTATTTATATATTTGTATTTTTGTTCAAAAGTAGAATTTTGTTTTATGGTATCTTCCACGTCAGTCTGGTTTATGCTTTATTGTCAAACCTAAGTTTTCTAAATTATGTTTTTGCTTAAATGCATTGTTTAACTGAACATAGCATTGAATATACTGAACTTAGGTACAGTAGCTCAAAATCTCTGGCCCAACACTTATTGAAGAGCAGTTTTTCCGATGGTTTCATATCTGCATTGTTGGTGACTGATAATAGAGTTATAGAAGTAAATACATCATTTTAATGAATATTTAATGCATTTTATTTAAACTAACTGTGTTGTCAAAGTTCACTGTGATTAAGCTGAACGCATTAACAGGTGAATGTGTTACTTGCTAACCGTTGTCTTTAATGTTTGCATTGTTAATGGATGTCCATATATATATGGGTTGTGAAGTGACTTTTGGGTTGTCAGCGTGAGATTCGACTGGAAACCTTATTAGCTAAAATGGTTGAACTGTGTCAAAAAACTAACGGTTTGGGCCATATGGAATCTTTGGAGTGACAATAGTGTGACCGTGATGTAGGTGTGGTTTTGTCTGAATAAATAGTGTGACCTAAGGACTCACAGCACCAAGATCAGAGATGTGCCGTGACCATGCGTGCGCTTCTTGCGTTGCAAGTATTAATGAATCCTTGTCTGTTGTATGGTTTTGTCCAGGTACTGTAGTTTATAACTATCTTTAACACTGACACAACACTGACCTTTTTATATATTCTTGTATTTATCTACTTCTATTTCACAGTAGTCTGAACACACCGTAGGTTAGTTTGAGTTTGAATGTTATGTAGTAACTACAGGTCCCATGGGTGACATCATGCTGGAGATTTTAGACGTCTTTCCTTATTATGCTAAAGATAGAGATTTTATACTGCTTTGTTTTTTTTTGTTTTTTTTTTTATAGAGTTATTATTCATTTATCTTGTATTGTGTGCTCCTCATTCCTACTGTCTGTTTTTTGATGCAACACTGACATTTCCTCACTGTGGGACAAATAAATAATCTCTAAATCTAACAACATTCCATGGTTTGCGTCAATGCTGCAAAGTACATTTTCTATGAATTGTTTTAATCTCCAACCTAAGTACAGACTGTCCTCTGCTCGTATTAAATCCAGTTAGAGCCATTTTTACGATGTGAATACAACCAAAGGGAACTGGGAGGTTCTTCTTACTGATCTGAAACAAGTGTAAAGTCGGACTAGTTCCTGGAACATAATTCCCCATCTTCACATCCTTGTCTTCTCTCACATTTCTGTTCTGAGCAACTTCTCTAAACACTTTTACAGAAATACCAAGTTCCTCCAAGAATCTCTCTCACCTCTTTCTGTAGAGCTCTGGCGGACCATGAAGGAGCCCACACCGTTCACGGGCAACAGCAGCAGCTCCTCCGCCTTCTGTCGCTCCACGCCCTCAAACAGCCACCTGCACAGAGCACATTCAATTTAAGTCCATTTGTTTTTGTATTAACCAAAATTACAACATTAGTCTTGTCTCAGCGGACTTTGCAAAGTTGTTAATTCGCCAGATCAGAGAATCAAACAGTTAAAGGAAATGCAATAATAATAATAATAGATACATTTCACTGTTGCATCACAAGTTATAGAACAGTAGGAAAGAGTAGCTATACTACTTAAAATAAAACTAAATCACTGGCTTTAGCATCAAATAACAAGTGTAAAATCTCTATCTTGAAAATAATAATAATAAAAAAGAAGATTAAAAGTTTTACATTTGGCAAAATAAGAGTAGAAAGTACTTTATATTTCTTAGGCACCTTTCTAGACACTAAAGGTCGCCTTACATCACACAAGTAAAAAGTACATTTAGTTAAAATACAGAGCAGCATGGACAGAGGATGGTGTGGTTATGATGTTAGTGAGTAGGCTGGTCTAACGAGATGAGTTTTGAAGGTGGATATGAAGTGTGTGAGCGAGTCTGTGTTACGGAGGTTAAGGAGGAGAGTGCTCCAGAGCTGGGGATTAGAGACGGAGAGACCAGGAGCAAACAAACACATGTAACAGCCTTTGGTCCATTGGTTCTTACCCATGGTATATTTTGGCCACGTGCATATCAGGTATGAAGTCAACCTTTCCCGTTTTCATCGAGCGCACTTTCCACCAATATACATGTCTGCACAAATCAAAAGACAAATAATAATGACATATTTATAAATCAGAAAACCAGATATTTGTTAAGCTTAATCATCGTACTTTTTAATGACTCGTAGTTTCTCTCCCAATCTAAAAGAAGGCTCTGTGATTGTGGCCGGTGGGTAATCATTGATCACCACTAGTGTCTCATCTTCTAGACCTGAAAGGAAATTATATAATATTACACAGTTTTACAGTTACATATGTAAAAAAAGCAAAATGAAATGTTACCTTTTTCAGCCTTTTCATCACAGTTGTCCTGCCAAGTGTCTCCCTTGTCCCCGGTGATAATGGCGCGCACCATATTCCCCATCACCCGGCTGCACACAAAACCAACTTAGTAAAATGTCATGCAAAAGTATTCGTACTTCAACTCTGCTGCAACAAGTGTTTTGTGACTTCTGACAGGTCAGCTCGATCTTTAATCAGACATTGTGTACAAAATGGGGAAGTTGAGGCGAGATTTTATCAGGGTTGATTTTCCACTGCAGCTATTAAGCAAAATAATGACGACAATGCATGAAATTCGGTGATGCAATTAACAGTACACAAAAAACATGTACATATGTCAACACAAGGAATCCTGTGTTGGAAATGATAGTTATTCATTCTTCAGTACCTTTGCTCTTGGCTCAGATGGCTTCAAGCTGATCTCTGTTGTTGCTTATCTCCTCATGGTGCTGGTGGTGGGAGCAGGCAGCAGAGAGAAGAACCATTGTTGCATGTATTTTCAGAAATGACCTGTCAGAGTGTGGTGACAGAGCTTATTCTGACTGTGTTTTCACTTCCTGTTTCACAAGAGGAAGAAGCTTGTGATGCACGAACCAACCCAAAACAGCCTGGCACACTTTGTACTCACATTTTAACATAAATGTGAACTGCTGTGTACCGACGCCACGGCTGATCTACCGCTCTATCTATGACGGACTTGGACTGTTCTGTGGCCGCTTCTAAACTTGTGCTTCTGTTTGGACTGTTCATTTGGACAATATTTACAGTGGAACAAATGTTTTTCAAATAGAATTAACGTACCTACATTTCAATCACAAATACTATGCTGCTATACTGTTTGGTTATGTCACAAGTTTTCACATTCATTTTTTCATCTCTGCTCAAAGCTTCAAATAGTGTCAAGCTTCAATAGTGACTCACGGCAGCACTTTTCATAACAGTGTATTACTGTCATTTTTCTCTGAAATTAAAGTTTTTTTTCTTAATTTGTGTTTGTGTGTTGTTAACTGTGTTAATTTGTATTTATTTGTAATTATTTATTTATTTAAGGATAGCCTCGTTGAGATAAATCATCTATTTTTTGAGTGGGTCCTTCAATAGTGGCACTTTAGCTGTCTCCTTAGACATCATCTAGATTCCTGAATGGTCACGAAAGAACTCAGACCAGACTCCGGCTCTTAGTTGCTCGTGTGAAGCTAGCACATTCATTCATTATTCTTCATTATCATTATGTTTGTCAAATTGCGATTGCAGACCAGTAAGGCCACAAAGTGTTGTTAATAATTGGTCACTTCTTTTGAAACCTACTTCTATTGCTGTCTTAATGCACTCTGACGCGGAAACCACACCGTCTCACCACTTGTTGATATATTCAGCTTTCTGCTTCTTTCCTATTGCGTTGGTGAGAAGATAAATAATCCCGACAGAGGAGGTCCCAGAGGGGCGCCATTTTTGCAGCATCATGCGAAAATGTGTTCAAAATTTGAGTTTTAAACTAACTTTTAGCTTCTGTTTTTGTTTTATTTTGTTTTGCTTAGAGTTGGGGTAGTAGACTTTTTCACAGTGTAAATAAGGCATGTACATTGTCTCAACAGAATAAATAAAATAAAAAATGTTGTGAACAAATCAGACCACAACATGCCCTCTACATCAATGGTGTAGGTTTGGTTCCAATCTTGGTGGGGACATTCACTACGACCTGAGTCTACACCCATTGACACGGGGTCCAGAGTTTCTCCCCCAGAATTTGTTGTGTAATCACACACTATATTTGCAATAGTGTGTTGCCTTCTATACTAAACTCAGCTGTAGACTGAATGAGAAGCAGTTATGTATGTTAACAGAAGATTAATCATCACAATTCATAATTTGCTATTACTTGTGCTTTCTCTTACTTACTTTCCAACTGTTAAAAAAGCTCCTGATATCTTTTATCTTATTTGTGGAGGTGGCATTTTTTCTAAATTATATAAGAAGGTATAGACAATCAAAAACAGACATTCATATACATGAACTGCAGAATCATTTATATAACTTGGCCAATGTCAAAAGTTACATAGTATTTCTCAATACAATAAGTTAACAAGAGTTTGGCAATAAGTAACAGTGTCGATTTTTCTATATTTTCTTTTTTTTATTCCACTCTCTACCCAAAAAGGCAAGTAATGACTCACAGGGCTCTCAAGTATGCAAAATAAAAACTTAAATGACCTGTTGTGGTGTGTTTTGCGCACAACCAGCATGCATCGTTAACGCAATGGAAAATTTAGGTATCCGAGCTTTAATTTCGGGAGCGCTGGTTGCGCTTTGGGAAGAGTCAGGGGAGAGACATGTCAGAGACACAGGGGAGAAACGCGGGAGATACGAGGGAGACCCGCACTTGCAACATGGTTCTGTCTGCATATGGTCCGAGCTCGGTACCATGTTAGAGCTCTGCTTTCACTGAGCGCCGCGGCTGTCATTACAAAGCGGCAGCAGCTGCACCAGGACGTGCACATTCGAGTGCATCGCTTGAATGTGCTTAGAGCAAATAACAGCAAGTGCCCGCTGTCACACATTTCACACAAATTACATTATCAGCAGATAAAGGTTGTAAATCGTGGATCCGTGGAATATTTTCATCCCTAGTTTATCCTGATTCACACAACACACCCACTTATACATTTTGGATAGTAAGAGCACAATACGTATTTTTTCAGCCTTTCAACCAACCTGTTTCTTTATTGGAGCCAGTTCTGTTCTGTCTCTGTGCCGTGTGAGCTCCTCGGAACATTAAACAGTGCGCTGACAGATTAGAAATAACGTAAGTACTTTGAATGGTAATAGATCTACAGTACTTTCCTCTGATTACTCACGTGCTACAACGCTCAGGGAACGAAAAAAAAACACTTGCTTCACGCTGGCTAACTTTTAGAAATTAAACAGTCGCTCAGTGCTTCAGTTTGGCGCTGAAGAAGACAGCCAATCACTGCAGAGAACGGAACGGGTCACGTGCTGCTGCTGCTGTTGCTCTGGAGGCGAGGAGGAGGCGCGACGTGTGCACAAACGGAAGACATGTGTCCCGGACCGTCCGGGTCATGGGACATCATGTCATTTTGGTGGGGACTTTTTAGTCCTCACCAAATATTGGTGGGGACATGTCCCCATGGTCCCCACGCAAACCTACGCCCTTGCTCTACATCAAACTAGAAAACATGTTATCTTTTGCATAATTGTAAGAAAGAACCATGTGAGTCACTATTTGACACTTTGGGCTGAGAGCTGATTGGCTGAGTGAGTGTGGTCCTCCCTTTTTCACTTTTTTTTTTGAAAACGCTGACTTAAAGATGTGACAGAGGCCAAAATACATGCATATGAAAATTTGTGATAGAACCAAACTGCGAGATTGAACTATAGTGAGATGGATTTGATTAAATATTGTCATAGCTGGGGAAAGTCAGGTACCCCAGCTTTAAGTGTGTAGTTTGTTCTTCTTGCTTTAGCCTTTGCAGACAGATGCACCTTCTCTGCACAATGTTCAAATTCAGCTGCTCATAAAAACATGTGCTTTCTGTCTGTGGTCGCCTCGGGCCACATTTCGCCCGTGGCTGGATGTGTTTGAACATTTCAAGGATAAGTGACTCCCCGCCCTTCATCTAAAATTACTAAAGTACCAGCTAAAAGGAATTCACATCATACTTTTTTTTGGAGTCTTTATGAAGTATTTCTATGGCCACAAAGCTCTCTTGTTTGAAAGTGGTCTAATTGAATGTTTTTCCTCCGACAGCTCCAAAGTTTTTTCTCTTAACAATGTGGCTGCTGCAGTTGTTGTCTTTGCCATAATGAGAAGGAGTTTAAACCAGAACCAAGTCCAGCAGGAAGAGAACGTGTAAAGGACATGGAGAATTGACTTTATCTTTGATTTTTATCTTTATCTTTAATCTTTTTAAGGCACTATGGCTATTTATGACTTTAATACAATGTGTGATTTGAATGTTTTAAGGTTTTTAACTACTTGATTTTGTGATTCTATTGTTTATGTTTTTAATATTTCTTGTGGTCTTATTGTGTGTTTTCATGCCCTGTGGGATTTTAATCGTATTTTTTTATGTTTATTATTTATGCTTGATATGGTGAAGCACTTTGTGTTTCGTTGGTAATCTACAAATAAAAGTGGTTTGATTGAATATTATGTTCACATATATATGTTTAGATTAAAATCAAATGAATCATATGTTTTTTCACTCAACGGAAAAATTAAATGGGCATTATGTAACTTCCCATCACAGTGGTATCTTGGATGCAATAAAATCAATTTAGGAGGTTTTCTTGCCTGAGAAAACCTCGCACCAGAAAACTCACAAAACAGTAGATCCTTGAGCATTGTAGACACAACTATGATCAAATGTTTCCATGCTGCCCACTCGTATAAATACATAAACCTTTTTTTTTTTTTTTTTACATAAAAAGTTGCATATTGCAACTTAAACATAAAATATTGTTAGTTTCAGCATTCAGTCACATTGATTTTATTTGCCATTTGCAGTAAAACCACATTGGAATACATTTGGTCCGGTATAGAAGCGAGAAAAACTGAAAATCAGCTAATTTTATGTTTTGAAACATTCCACATGTTTACGTTGTCTATGTGTACATAAGCTGTTAATCTGAAAGTGCAAACAATAACTGCCAATACACCCTAACCCTTTTTTAAAGAAATAACATCGCCCCCACATATGAAACATCACAGTGAACCTCAACTGATGTAAAAGAGAACATGAAAGGTGTGAATGAAGCCCCGTGTCTGGCACTGTTTTTTTGTTTCCTATTAGCTTAGTTTAGTTTATTGTTTTTAGCACAAGGACAATTCACAAACCCATTCGTTTTTATAAAAGATGAGATTGCACCAGATTTAGCTGCAGCTTCTTTCTATCTGTAGTCCCTGGGCAGGTGAACGCAAATAGATATACACATTATAAAAACAAACTTACAAGAAAATACAACCATAAACACATGACATTGTTTTCCAAAAATGTCATAGGCTACAATAAACATATACAATTTCTAATGCTATAAATGCAATGATAAATGCTAACCCAAACATCCATCTCAATAATAATACTGCAAACAGATTCAAACTTTCCAGCAAAGCCATTGTTATTAGCAGCCCAGAGAAGGCTAGAAATATGTCAAAAAAAAGGGTTTTTTCCTGGACACCTTTAGTGAGTAGCAAAACATGTCCAGGAGAAAATAACCCCCAAAATTCACAACAATGCCCCAAAGGCGTGTTTTCTTCTCCGCAGCAGTGAAAGTGTGTGTTGTACCTGTGTTATTAGAGCCTGAGGCCACACTACCTGCAAGTGCACTCGTCCCCGCCCTTCGCAGACGTAATACCAGCCTTCACATCTGAGCAGGGTATGATTTGTGTTGCCATGGCGCTGGTGCCCATAATGACACGGACCCAGTGGCTCTCCTCCGATCCAGCTGTGCCCTCTGCTCCTCATCCCATCGTCATCACTTACTACTTGTTATTACCCATTCATTATCATTACCAACCGATGGCCTGTTTGAAGATGTGCGGTTGTTTTACCAATAGTTCAGATGAGTTCAGTTTCATTTTTTCATCTCCCATAAGAGAAATTTGTCTTGGAACTCTATGCCTCGTCCTCAGCCAATTTATGTGAACAGAATGCAGTGGTGCATGAGATATCTGCTGACAAGTAGATGTGCTTGTGGTATAATAATAATTAAATGTGCTGAGCTGACATGCTGGTTATTTTTGCGAGTACTCAGGCCTGTCATAGTAAAAAAAAATGTTGATAGACAATATTTTGATAGAGAGATGTTTTGCGATAAATTTTATTGACACAAGTGCAATTACAATATAGAAGGAGAGTCCATGTCCATATTCTGGAGCAATTCAATTCATTTTTTTCCTAAGACTTAGACAAACTTTATTGATCCACAGGGGAAATTGCGTTGTCACAGTAGTTTGCGTAGTATTTCACTAAAAAACTAACATTAAAGTAACAATCTGAAAATAATAATAACAAGATAATATTGTGAGAATAGAATAATCTGGATATAGGTACTCAGGAATAAACACATCTGTGACTATATACATTCACAGCATAAAATACAGAAATAATAGGATATTAAACATCTGTTAATATATTTTGAAGGACTTTACAAAGTTTTCAATTCACCAACAATAGAGAGAGAATCAAACCGTTCGAACACTGGAAATGCGATAATAACAAACACATGGGAGCCATTGGTCCATAGGGAGCGGGTTCACCAATGTCCATGGACGTTAATAGTAGCAGTATTTAAGTGAATGTCAGGTTTTTTTCAAATTGAGAAGAGAGAGTGAAAATATTTTTTTTTTAGACGAGAACTGGCCCCTCACTGGTCCATGCTCACTGGCGCAGCTTCATGATTGGTCGAAATTAATTCAAATCCTTAAGGCCCGTTCTTATTTT